TTGTACCTAGTAGTTTCCTGTAAGATGGAGGGGTTGTTCTTCCTGCAATGATACAGCAGCTTTTCTATAATTTTTAAAATATGATTTGTCCCTGCCTACAGTAGGCACTAAACCACACCGGCACAATCAGCTTTATTTCACACGTTAGAAGGGGTGGAAAGGTAAAAGATCTTATTTGGGAACTGGAAGTAAGGAAGCTTTCAACTGACATTTTTTGAGAAGAGTTTGGCTGACCAGAGTTCCCTGAAGAAGTGTAGGCTTTCCACCGGGGTTAAGCCATAGGAGACAGGGAAGGGTGGCTCTGAGAGCTCAGCCCACAAAACCAGGTAAGAAGCTTTTTTTGGAGGCACTGCAAATCCAACTTGGCTGGTCTGGATTGCTCTTTCTGTGACTACTTTTGTCTTCAGACTCTGAGGAAGGACAAGAGGGACAGAGGTGGGCTGACCTTTGGAAGCTACCTGGCCTTGAAGACATAAGCCATTCGAGTAAGTTGGAAATACTACTGGGGAAACTAAGGCAGAGCACATGCTGGACTGTGTCTTGCCATAGAGTGGCACTCTAATGCTATGTTACAGAGCTGAATTCGTACTGTCAGAGATCACTGATACAATCTTTTCATCTCAGTGGAAAAGACTTTTTTCTTGTATGTCTTAGGAAAAAACCTTGTGTTTGAATGGACTTTTCTAAACCATCCTTTATGGTCTGGCCCTTCTGTACTCAGTCCAGCCCTGGGATTCTCACTCTCCTGCTGTGGAGCTAAACAGCTCCACAGTGTTACACACTTGCTGGCTGCACCCTGCAGTTTGTGCTTTTGCTGTTCATCACAGATCTTGGCTACCCTATAAAATTAGAACTGCCTGTGAGGTGAATTATTCACTTCTACATCTGAGAAGAAACCATGTTGATTTGCTTTACTGTTTTCTATTTTGTCTATTGATTTTGGGGTAGTCCCAATAGTGTGGTCCCATAAAAGGCCCTACAGAACATTGTATTTGTTTTAACAATTTACAAAGGGTGTTCTTGCCTCCATGTCCCCTTGCCAAGTTACTCCAGGCATGAAGAACTAAATTTAATCTCTATAATTAATAAAGCACAAAGAAGATACATATTATGCAACTCTCCCCCTGCTTTGTTTTTTGGGGTGCCAAAATTGCAGTACGCTGTCTGGGAACAGCTAGGAAGTGGGAGAGTTCCCACCTGATAGATCTTAGCTGCTAAAAGGCAAAAAGAACACAGATGGCTGAAACCAGATTTCTGTATAAAATGAGCAACCAGTTTTCACCTGCATATCTAAGCTGGTAAGCTTGTTGCTGGTACCAGTACAAAAGTAGGCCTCTGAAAATGTTTCCAAGAGAAACATGTTTGCAAATGTTACAGTGACTGACAATCAATACCACACCAGATACCCAGGGCTCACAACTGTACAGGAGGGACTGTGTAAGACAGGCTACTACGGACGCAGATTTTATAGTGTGGTATTGCCTTCTGACAGGCAGATAGTGAAAACGGATAGCCTCTCAAGTGAAAAATCAGTTATTCCTCCCTCTATCCCGTCACTTACAGGAAGACCTACCATGTCTAGAGGGCAAGCAGAGCATATTTTGAGGGTAACGTTGTTATCACCAAGATGTTTTACAGGAGTTATCACTATCATTCTCCCTATCATAACGGGGAAAAAAAAAAAAATCACACAACTTACTAGCAAGCTTTAGAAACACCTAACTTCCTTGCTTTGTGCATTCCTCATTTATGGTAACTCAAGTCCCAGAACTCTATCTGCACTCAAAGAAGAGTAGGAATTTACCCTTTCTGTTACCGAGTAGTCTATTCCTCTTTCCTCATGCTGGCCTTAGAAACCTAGGTGATCTTTTGGAAAATTTAAAGAATCCCAGGTAAGCTTCTGTAAACATGTCTCAGGGACATTAATGCCTGGCTGACCACATCCCTGGTCTTCTAACTCTCCTCGAGTTTCCCAACGGCTGTCTATTTATCTTCTAAGCAGCAGATTACCTGCTTTTTCAGTTCACTCTGCATTCCTGCAGATGAGCTAAAAACGAATTTCCACAGAGAGCTCCCAGCCAAAGAAGACAACACTGTTCCCTTTCACTCATTATGAAAGAACTCCTATGCTCATTTGGACTTTAATTAAATTTTACCCATGCATTATCTTTCCCTTGTCCTGTTAGACAATTTTCTCAGTTTCATGGAAGGGCCCCAGAGTCCATGATCTTTCTGCTATTTCTGCCTGTAGTTTATAAAAAGCGATGAATAGAAGTTAATTATCAGTAGCAAGAGGTGCAGGTGAAAGTCAGGACTCTAAAACTGGGAAAGATGTTCTCACCATACTTCAGTGTGACAGAGTTCAGAGAGATGAATTCTGAGCAGGTTTTCTTTTCTCCAGAAGTGTCTGGAGGGCAATTTAGACCTGGGCCATAAGCCAGGTGGGCTTCTGGCATGTTTCACACACAGAACTATGGCAGAAATGTTTGAAAACTTTAGGTCAAGCCGGATGGCTTTAGAAAATACCCGGGGTCATGAACTGATACATTTTCTTCATTCAGTTTTGGTGGAGAATAAACAAGGGAGAGACAGAGGGCAAATTTCCCTCCAGATCCGTAAGTCTAGCCTTACCTATAAGGAAAAACATTTATCACTCAGTAAAATACTTTGAATTGTTCTATTTTGTTTAATACTGCATATAAACCAAAAGCAAATCTGAAAGAGAAAAGTTTTGTGAATGATTTGCTATTACATGCCTTTGCTGACTTTCCAAGCCCTAGGTACAGAGAATGAGATGCCTGATACTTCATACCTTGTGAAGTTCTAGGACATGACTCCTCTCCTTCCATGGAAGCTGAGGCATCACATATAAAATAGGTCAGCTGAACTGCCTCTAGCAATTGGCTATAACACAGGATCAGACAACTGTAATCATATGAGAACATTTCCATTGGAAATGAATCTTAGCGCCAGCGTCCAGTTTTCAGTAATAACGTCACTGAGCTTGTAAGTGCTTAGCATTCACAAAAGCAGGCCCCAGAGGCTAAGGAAGGATACCAAATCAATAGTCCTCATTGGACTAGCATCCACTTCTCACTGGGAAAACTTCCTTTCTCTCCTTTATAATGCATAATCTTTCATAATATACTCTCAGAAGCTGCTGAACTAATCAAATTAATCTATCTGGAATAACGTGTACAACAATGCCAAGTCTAATGAGGCAAGAAGATACATAGTTTCTATGTCTGATCTGTCTGGTTTACTTTAGAAAATACTACATTTATTATATGATTTGATGACTCTGCCAAACATATTATGGGCTCCCCTAAAAATGTCAAAAATTGGGTGCTTCCAGGCTAACTGGAAATGAAATACATTCAGTTCATTGACTTGTTATTAAGATGAGAAGAAGTAAGAAGGAAGAAAAATGTAATCTCTGACCCAGGGAAAACGAAAACTTAATGTAGAAGCTGTATGTAAACAGACTGTGTTGGCACTGTGCAAAACTAAGACATAAAGCAGAAAACTAAGAGGATTTGAGCAAAGAAAAGTAGAATTCCAAGTCAAAGAATACCTCTGATCTAGTATTTATGCCTGTCCTTGAAGATTATATGTCTCATACTTTATGTCTTATCAGTTTGATAAGAGCAGGACGTAACTGTATGCAACTTCTTTGAAGATAAAGTTTACACAAATGGGAGATCTCCCATTGCCTCCTTTCTCTTCATTTCAATCATTAAAATGTACTTTCTGCTCTACTCCCTTGATAAGCTTTATTTGAAGATAATATGAGCTTTTGCCAGTTTCAGATTGTGGCCTTCTGTAATGGTATCTCCTGCCTTTTTAGTAGTAAAACGCAAAATTATTTTCCAAAAAGGTCCTGTCCCTCAAAATGTTCAACATCATTGTTTGCTGCCTCGTAGCTACAGTGTGCTGCATGCAAGCACTGTATATGCAGGAACACAGAGTGATGGATTTGGAGTTCACATCAATGTCTTCTGAAGTCTGTACCGTTAATGTCATATCCACCATTGCCCTGATATTCATGTGTCCGATGTTGCACATAGAGAAGAGAGGAAAATCACACCCTAGAAAATGACCATAGAATCTCAGACATTGACAAAGTTGAAAATTGTCAAGTGATTAGCCACCCCTGGGCTCAGTTCTCCCACAGCTAATTTAAACCTGGCTTGGCTGTGTCTACCTAACACTGCAGGGCAGGGGTACTTGATGAAATGTCTCTGCCTTTCACAAGCAGGTCTGCTAATAATTATTTTTAAGGGCTCACCATTTGAGAGCCTGTAGAGTTTAAGAATTGTCTCCTCTGGTTAATGTTCAGTGGCCCGGTGACACAAGGTAAATGCTACCTTCCTTAAATGACTACCAAGGAAAGGGAATCTGCAGCGCTATAGGTGAGTGCCTTTGATACAGGGGCACAGCTCCTGTTCATGCAAAGAAATGCAATCCCTTTTCCCTCAATTTAAGGTTAGGTACTGCAAGTGCTAATTTAAGGAAAGATACACGAGAAGGGGAATCCGCACAGAGCTGGGAGAATACAGTTCCCACTGTTACTATTACAACCATCTCACAAAGACTTTCCAGTAATATCTATTTTTAACAACTGCAATGAAGCCAAGATCTTGTGTTAGGGTCATTTTGATGGTGCATGGAAGGCCTGAACTCTATGATATTCAGGCTGCAGTATCTGCTAGAACAGCTTTTTCACACTCTGTGCCTAATTCTCTATTGTAATTAAACTTCACTTTACCACAGTAATGGGCCTTCAACTGGGAATACAACAATTCATATCTCTTTGCACAGTGCAATGTAAAGGAAGATTTGTGTGAGTAAGAATGTGCTTATGTGTGCCCTGACTAAACACAACTGAAAAAGAAAGCAATGTTGAAACGAGTCATTATTTGCCGTTCTCTACCTAAGGTATTTGTGCACTTGCTTTTTTTTTTTTTTTATTTTTTTAACTGACGAGCAGAAAAGGATGATGTCAGTGGGTTTTATCCCGATTTTTTGTTTATTTTTAGAAGTGGACCAACAAATAACCATGACCTAAATTCTACAAGACAGAAGTGCACACAAGCACATTGTTAAATACCAGAATCTATTTGAGTTCAGACAATTTCAGCAGAACTGTACACATACATCTTCTTTAAAAGCAGACTACAAAAAACTAATTAACAGTAAGGTCTAATATTTAAGACAGATAGTGAAGTCAACCTTTTAACTTCTTTGTCTTCATGCAGGGATAATGTGGATATAGCATTAAGATTCAGACATAAATCTGTCAAAGGCAAAAAAGAGAACACCACTTTTAAATGAGCATCAGTTTTATACTGTCATTGAAGTGAAGCTGGAATCTGGATGGAACAAGCTTCAAACTGGGCATGTGCGGACCCTGCCATCTCCTGTATTTAAATGGAAGCCACTGCTGCTGCCCTTTGCTAGAGCTGAAGATGGAGTGAAACAATCTGAGAAACTGCACTGGATCTCACATTATTCCAGAGAAACTAATTGCTTTGCCCACACACAAAAAGGTAAATTGGCTGACTTAAATTCAGAGGAGAGCTTTTCTCTCTTTGTTTTTGCTTAGATTTTGTTCACCTGAATAATCAGCCCATTCAAAGGGGGATCTCTTGTCCCTCTGAGGACCCCAACAGCACCGAAACTGTGGAGTCCTTCAATGCATGGAATGACTCGGAAACCAATGCGTACGCACTGATGGACCTGCCTCTTAGAGCCCCAACAGTAAGTGTTTTCTGTCACTAAAAGCTGAAGCAAATAGTTCTGCTGGCAAAGCTGGTGTTTATAGAACTGTAAACAGACATTTAAGGTGCATGTACACATTTAATGCTGTAATGCTGCAATGGAACAAAATAATGAAAACTTTAAAATCTTTTTATTCCTTTAATTACTGCAGAAAGGACTGTAGAAGCAGTGTTTTTCAGCAGAGTTACATGGGCAGAAGACAGGGAGGAATGTATAACAGCAAAGTACAGCAAATATGTTGCAGACTGTGGAAACAACATATTCTCGTGCATTAAACAGCTGCTTAGCAGTTCAAACACAATGTTATCTTGTGTTATTATTCAAGATGGGAATCCTGGTCATTTCTGTAATAGTCTGTAAATGCAGTGAAGTGCTAATGTAAATGTTAAAGAGCTGTTATTTGCAGTTACCCAAGAGAGCGGTTGAGAATGTTTCCCCAGGTAAGTTCTACCAAAGCTCTTTCTCAGCTGTTAAATACTAAACAGAAAGAAAATTTACTTCTAACTGTGAAGATGATAAACTGTTGTGATGACTCTTCAGGATGAAACTTCTTTGGGCTCACTAAAGATATTTTCCATTCCATCCCACAAGCCTGAATCAAAGGAGTTCAGAAGTCCTCTTCCTAGTTGTAGTATACTAGTAGGACTAAAGTTTTGTTCACCTGCTGTTTATACAAAAGTCTGCTTAAAAGTAAAGAATAAAAAAATGACTCAAGATAGTTTTTGAAGTTTTTAAAGTTGGAAATTCAACTTAAAATCTTGATGTGGACATACCAGGTATTTTGGCATGGCCCATATTACAGAGCTGACATTTTAAAACTGTGTGCAAGTTTGAAACACTCCAAAAGGTTTTATGCATATAACGTATTGGATTGGGTGTTCCAGTTTGATCCTAATTTATAATGAAGGACCAGCAAATATTTTATTATTTGCAGAGTAAAAATGGAGTCTTTATTTGTTTATTTAATAAAACCTGTATGTGTGCAGTGTATTACAGAAAAATAAACAGAGAAGTGTCCTGAGCAAGGTGCTTACAAACTAATTTAGATGGATAACAGATGAAAAAGGATAGCAGAACATATCAGGGAGGGAGAAGAGGGACTGAGGAGCGCGTAGCAAAATGGAAAAGGATTCTGAGGGCAGTGTGATTTACATTGGAAAAATTAAAAATGGATTTTTTCCTTATTCTGCTAAAAGAGGTAGTTAGCTGTCCATTTCATCTGACTAGGTCAAGTGACTGTATTTTCAAACTTTTGCATTTTAATTTGACACAAAGATTTGTTTAAGAGAGTTTCGGGACTGAAAGCAACATGTGCTGCTTGTAATTGAGATTAAATCCGGAAGATAGGATACAAAATCTGCTATCCAAATTGCTCAACAGGACAAACATCATCTATGGCAAGCCCTGCTGTCTACTGGAAGCAGGGTTTAGCAGTTGGCGTCACCCTGCTGAAACCATAATTGAGGTGGGATTACACTCCTCTTTGTGCTGCCTGTCATCACAGAGCAAGCGCCTACAGAGGCAAGCTCAGAAATCAGAGCAAGGAACTGTGAAGAAAAATAAGTGTTATCAGTTGTTTGAGGCCTCTTGCAAGTAGGCAGTACAAACACTGCACCTAGAAACCCTAGGAAATTACAGTATTTCTGCTCTGATAATTTTTCTAAACTATATGATTTGTTGTAATGTAAAAGGCCTAACACTATCATTGATTGTATAAGGCATACTGCGTAAATAAGCAGCTTCATTGCCTGTATTTGTACAAAAATTAAGAACAAAGAAACCCAATACATTGCCAAAGTCAATGTGGGACCGCCAAAACTTGTGACGTTTTGGAACTGGGCTCTATTCCATTAAAACATTCATTCTGCAAAACTAATGCCTACAGTTTGAAGCCAGATGAATTCATAGAAGCAATGATAGCAGTCCTTATTTCCCTTTCCTTGTCATGTTTTACACCAAATTAGATACAATCCATCTGATCTCCAGGCAGAAGTAGCTGAGAAATGTCCTTGTCCTAGTCTTTTATGTTCCTGGCTTTTGAAACAATGTCACACAAATAAATCAATTAATCAATCAGAACCAGCACTGAAATATGTTCAGATCCCCAAATGACCTTATTAGGATTTCTGCTTTCCCCAGAACTAAACCTTGCTTTACACTCTTGCCATTGGGAGATTCTGAGGAGTGGGCTATATCAAATATGATTTATATTTAGTACAAGTATTTACAGGCACGATCTTGCTCCTGCCATCATTACTGTTAGCTTTAGTAGGACTTCAGTAATCAACATCTCCAAGTGAACAGTAATTAAATGATACAATTTTTTTCTCACTCTGAAAAAGAACAGATTTTTTTTCCCCAGTAATAGTTGAACTGTATTCTTTGTGTGTTGTCCTTTTTTCACTTATACAAAAATATTTTTCTCATACTGTGAGCAGGGGGGGAGGGTTGGTCTTTCAAAAATGGTATCTTTTCTACTAGAAGTTATTCAGAGATGAGCTGGTTTGGTTGGTTTGCGGGCTTTTTCAATCAATTATGAAATAACTATTTAGAAAACCTTCTCTTTAGGAAAATGTGTATAATAAACAGATTCCCAAGACAGAATAGATGACAGCACCAAACATCCCTGAGTTTTATATCTGATCTAGACTTCCTTTCTAAGCTGGACAAATCACTTAGGAATTGTGTTTTTGTGCTGGACTGAGAATTTTAACTCTCTTCAGACATGTGTCTTGCAGGGTCTTGACAAAATTCGTGATGAAATACAAGTTCTGACCTACACTGATGTTCTCTGTGGCTGATTCATTTCTACCCCTTCTCTGCTTGCACCAAGCCTTAGCAGAAGAGACTGTGCACTGCTGTCTTCCTGAAGAAGCAGTCTGGCCCTTCAAACTGGCCCTCCAGGAAGAATTCTGCCTCCCTTGTAACTAGCTGTGGCAGCAGGCCATAAACAGAGAATAATGAGTCTCCATGTTGTGCTGCAGCCTCCACAGACAAGGCCAGAACAGCAAGGATTTAGACATATTTATCTATTAAGCATTTTTTTCTCTCCAGACTCCCAAAAAGCATCTCAAGTTTATAAGTCTGTCAAGTTTACTGAATGATAACTGAAAACACAGGCAGTTCTGTTTTAGCTGTTTTGTTGTAGGCAGTAGACAAGCATTTCTTTAGGGAGAACAATGAGCATTTTAAGAAGGCAGATTGCATTAAACCTAGCTGGTTTTCTCTATCCTACTGTTTCCACAAGAACACACTTAAACCTGCTGGAAGGAAATATACTAATGTAGAGCAACTTCATAACTTCATAATTTCTTGCCACTGAATCTATTGAGGAAAATGATGGAGTAGGATTTAGAAAAGGATTACACCTATATATGGAGGATAAAAATTATTCTTTTAAGGGGATAATAACCCTGTTTTAGGGCACAAACCAACTACTAAGACTCTATAATGAAAATTAAATTCCCACATCTCTGTTCATTATACATGTTTGGCAAATCTGTGAAACACCCGGTCATGGTTAAAGGCAGGCTGGTGCTTTGTCGGGACTGCTGGTCTGAATCAGTGTGGCACTTCCCAAGTTCCTTACCACACCAAAATTATCGATCTGCTTCTGCAAAGCTATAGGGTAAATAAATAATAAATAATAAATGACATGCCTATCAGAGATTAAAAACACAAATTCTTTTACAATTCTAGCAAAAGGTCAGTTTTGATACACACCAAAACATTTTTAAATGTTTGGTATTTTAAAACCTGCTTTTCAGGTTGACTAAAATGCCGTCCTTGGCTACTGATATGTTCTCTGACTGACCCTCAGTACTTACTGTGAAGAAATTTTGTTACATTACAGTTACTACCTTGAAGTCCTCCCACAGCTTCCATGACCATTTTGTTTGCTTGCTTGCTTGAGAAATGTTCAATATTTGTATTGACTGATTGTCAGGGAGTTGGTGCTTCCCACAGAATTGTTTCCTACAGAATTAATACCCATCTGTGCCACCCACAGCACAGTTGGTCTGTGGGTATACTGGCACCCAGTGGTCCACAGACTCAGATGCAAGCATCTTTCACTTGTTGACTCTGGAAAGCTGTAGTCCATTGTCCAACCACTGGAAAATGTCCAACCTCTCAGTTTCCACTTCAGTTTCTTTGTGCATTTGGTGATGTTTTGAACTATTTACATTAAATAAACTGTGTTGTCACATCACCTGAAAAAGAAATAATGAAGTGCTGGCTTTGCCTGTTCATTTTTCTTATCTTGATTACGATGTGTTTACAGAACGAAGGCTGAACAGAAAAGCACGCAAGGCAACAATGCTGTGCATTATCAATGCAATTGAAATAGTTCAGAGTATTGTCAGAGGACAGTTGCTACAGTGGGGATTGCAGCAGTGGGATTTTTATTCTCCCCTGCCAACCAAGTACTCATACCATGGAGTGACAACAGAAGACAGAGACTAAAAAAGGTTAATCTGCTGGAGAAACCAAATAGATAAAAGCTCTGGGAATTGTTTGATTTCTTGACTATCCTGCTAGCCTGATTTCCTCAAGCACTCTCTTTTTCTCCATGTGCTTTCTTTTGATGTATAATTCCCCTAGATGATCTAGAGCGGAACTTGATACAGGCATGTGTTTTCATCTTCTAGTAAGGAAGCTATATGTATGCAACTTAGTGATGAATTTGAAGTGCTTAGGCCTGACCTAATGCCTTGTAGGTCAACTCTTACCTTTCTTTGCCTTAAAGAAGCATTGAATCAGATCTGTATTTCCAATAAAAACAGTGAAATTACTTTTTTTAATAATTGACTTTTTCCTCTTGGAGAACAGCCACAGTTGGACCCTGTGGTAAAAATCCCAGGCCTAAAGGAAGTCCACATTAAAATGTGAATTTATTCATCTTTGCCACAGACCTTTTTTTGGCCCACATATTTAGTATTATTTATGTCCCATCACTGCTCCAGTATAAATATTATTCCTTTATTTTTTTCCCACTTGACATTTTTATTGACTCTGAACTTGTTTCATTCCTGAATAAGTAATTTTAAAGTATTCTACTGTCCCTTAAATAACCTTTCCTCTCTTGTGATTTCTGTGTATTTATATTTATCTTTTAAATTTTTCCTTGTCCTTAGTCCTCCACAAATTTAATTCAAATTAAAGCCATTTTAATCTCTTCTTTGTAGCCACAACAAGCTCCTTTAGTTGCTTCATTTCTGTTACCTTGATCCAGTTCTGATTAAAATGGATAGCTGCAGGGAAAAACATCAGAAATCTCTATTCCATTAATAATCATCATTAACTCCCTGTAGAACAGCAGTTAGGAGATGTTCTAGCCACAAGGCTAAGAAGAAAAAAACCCCAATACAAACCAAAGAACACTCGATCTCATTTATTTAAAACAGTTTTATCTCAGACTCTCCCTCTCCATTTGCTATTAGCATGGGATTTTTTTTGTTATTTTACTTGCAGTGTGTTAAGCACAGCAATTTCTGCCTAGGCAAGATGCCCATTGATGTCGACGATGTGATGCCAATTTACACTTTGCTGCAGGAACCTGAACAATAAATGCCATGATATTGTCATTCAGTTAGTGTATCAACCTTCACATTTTGCTCCAATTACAATAACAGTCAGAGCTACATTTTCTCTCTTGAAGTTCAAAGTATTTGTCCAGCATTTCATTGCTGCTAATGTAGAAACGCAGGGAGTACACTCTAGATGTTGATTGCTGCAGGCAGATCTTCAACACACAACCAAAGACAATCTCTTCCATAATTCCAGACACTCCTGGGGTTCACCTCTTGCTATTGGCACATTGGTTTTAAGTACACACTGTCTCTAGTGACTTCAGTCCAATCTCACAGATATATTCAGAAGTAATATCTGCCTCTATTGTCTGAAAATACACATTTCCTTTAATAACTGGGATGTTGTCAAAGGCATTTCTGAGTTGCACTCTAACGGTGAATGCCAACTACTAACATAACTGTGAGATAAAAGGGAGAACTTCGTACCTACCTCTGGGAATTTCCTCCTTTCCTACCAGCAACCTTCCTTTTCCTTGGAAGGAATGACTGCATATGACAACTGTACCACCATCTCCCGGTACTTGTGGTTGGAAGGAACATATCCAGCCTCATAGCACTATTTAAGTTTGGTACAGGCAGAGACTTTGGTACAGGCAATTCCCCTGTCCTGGATCGTAGGCCACAGCCAAGTTGACAGTATTCACAATACGCAGACTAGAAATGATTCAAAATATTTCCTGGGATTTTCTCAAACCTGGTGTGATTGTCATAGCTCAGTAGCTGAGGAATGCCATGAGGCTTGAGCTAGGAGCAGTGGTCATGGCATGCCATTCTGGAGTGAGAGCCACCCCTGATGAGAAAATCCTGGCTGTGAAGAAGAGACAGGATCTGTCCATGCAGAAGAATAAGGATGGGGCTTGGTATTTTTCATGACTCCATTAGCTGGCTGGAGCTAAGACACATTTAGGACAGTGGCAGTTGCACAGAGGGGAGTGTTTAAGTCTCCTTGGCTGACCTTATATGAAAAGGAAGCAGAACAGTGGTTGTTTGGTGGTTTGGGCAGCTGTTCTCTCCTCTTCAATTTCTATCAGGTCATCCTGCTTCCTGGCTGCAGCCTTACTGTTTGCTTCATTACTAATCTGGGGTCACTTGGCCTCAAATGTGTTTGTGGCTCCTGATACTTAACTAAAAACATTTTTAAATTATTATTTAACATGCTGTAGTCTTCAGACTTGGTACTGAATTTTGCTACATTAGTTTATTAAGACACAAATGCCTTCCTCAAGCGTTTTATCACATACTTCACAGAGAGCAAAATACCTTCATTCAATGCAGAGTGAAAACAGAACTGGTATGGAAACTAGGCATAAGGTATAAAGGATTTGTGGTTTAGTTCTTCTGATCCTTAACTTAGTTTCCGGAAGACTCTTCTCCAATACTGCCAGGCTTTTGGTAACCAGGTCTTGAGGGCACCTTGCAATTCAGTGCTATTCAGTGGGAGAAATGAAATAGCCGTACTACTAAAGGAATAAATGCATATTTATCCATAGAATATAATTTCAACTTAGTCAGAGTAGTCTAGCCAGTGATGTCAAAGGACAACAGAAAACATACTTCACAGGTACAGAAACTTTCCTGAAATGAAAACTACAGAAAACATACTTGTTGATAAGTACTGCATTACTTGATGTCAGATGCAATTAAAAGGGTCCCTTCCTGTCTCTCTTTTTCTCCTCTATATCCTTATCTTTCTTTTGGAAAATAATAGATTGCTTTTCTTCACCAAGATCAACAGTAAACATATAAACCGCTCTTTGATCTTTGCACTGCTGATGGCATATTTATCCTCTGAAGATGATCAACAGTAAAAGTAATTGGACAGCAATTAGCTTATTCTGACATTTTTTGCTTGCAGTCTTGACCATTTCCTCTTCTAGAGGAGTACATGCCAGCTTATTCAGTAAAGTCTGACAATATACCCATGACTTCTTGTTTACTCCACAGAAGATGACAGTGCAAGATGTTCCTGGTGCCTTTCCTACCGTGGATGTCCCAGACCATGCCCATTATACAATTGGAATAGTCATTCTTATAGTGGGAATCACAGGAACTCTGGGTAATTTCCTGGTCATCTATGCTTTCTGCAGGTATCTTTCTTTTGCATGTTTTTTTAAATACTCAGATCTATGAACTTTAACAGTACCTTGACTGTGATCTGCAAATGTAGCACAGACATACATACTATCAGACTACTATGCAGACATAGTGAAATACACCAAGTAACATTGCTGTAGGAAAAAAGTGGCAATCTCCCATTTCCCTATGACTTCCTCCCATTAACCATAGCCATACCCATAGCAAAATTATTAGCAAAATTGCAAAGAATCACCCAGATAAGCCAAGCAATAGAAAAGCAGCCAAAGCAGAAACCTTCCAGTGAATTTTTTTCTACTGGACTGATGAGTTGTTTTGCACCTGTGTCTCCCACATATCTTCCCTGTTTCCTTCCACCTGCTCCTTACTACTCAGTTACTTTTTCCCTCTGTTCCTTACTGGCCATGGCTCTTGATTTCACATTTTTTAACACTTGGTTTACTTCCTTTTAACTAAAGACACGTTCCAACTTTTGTATTTGAAGGAAATCAGATCTCTGACAGCCATGTGATATTTTCACCATTCCTGTTCACTCATCCTGTTTCTGTTTTGTCACACTGGGGCAGAGCACTGGCATGCCATCTAGGCCAGTGAGCTTCTACTTCATGATTGGTCTTTAGGCACTAATGTAATAAACCAAAATAATAGCATTTATATGATAATTTGGTTGTGTTAAATTAAATCACTGGAGTGTGGACGAAAGTAGTCTGTGTCTCGAGCCTGTACTTATGCGGCGCATTAAATGGTAGGTTTCAGTATGTGCATTTAGAGTAGATAGCAACACTTAAGTGTGAATGTCATGGCCTTAAGAACAGCAAAGGTGTCGGTGTGCAGACCAGGTATGTGAGGATGAAGTACCTGAGCTAGCTTAGCTCTTTGGCTGGTCCTGTACAGGAAATCCAGTCATGGCAGTTGTAGTTCCACTGGAGGACACAGCTTGCTTTCATTTGAAGATGTTATGAAGACATAACATGAAGATGTTATGATAGTAAAGTAACAAGTACATCAGAAGCTCAGAGAACACATCAGATGCCTACAAAGCAGTCTCATGTAAAGCTGCCTGAAATGGAAATGTGTTCAGTAACTTTGCAGACTACTGAACAAATACAAGCGGCCCATAAACATCTAATAATAATATCTCCTTGCTCCTAAGTTGACAGATAAGGGATAGCAGTCCTAGTGATTAATTCTGGATCAGTGCAAAGAATCCATCATTTATTTCTGGTATTTTTCAACTGTGTCCAAGACTGAAAATTTGAGATAGGAGCTAAAAAGTTACACAGAGCCCCAAACTGAGGAGCTCTCAGTTGAGATTTTATGTGCACCCTTTAAAACAGTGTCCTACAATAGTACAAATAACATGTACAGCCAGGATACACTGAAGGCTGTCTGTTGCTCTCTTTAAAGTCAGCGTCTGAGCCAGTGAAATGAGTGTCATACAGAAGAATGTATGATGTAAAACAAAATGCTTGATGTGGTACATAGTGAGTTTGCTTAATCCCTGTATTTGGAAGTCAATGTTGATCTTATCAGCAGTGGAAAATGTGCTCCCCTCCCCCTGCTTAACACGACCCAGATCCAGAAACCCATAGAGTACATCAACTTTAATTTCCTGTTAATCATGGACATGCAGTGCACTGGGTCAGAATATTTAAAGAACAATATGTTTTACCCCCATCATTGAGCTGGTTATCAAAACACTCTTCTAAAGTGCACAGGAGTATAAGGGTGTAAAACTGAGCCTTGCTTATGTTCTCTCATGAGGGAAATAAGCACTCTGCTCTAGCTTGCTGTGTAGTGTGCCTTGATATCTGTGAAGCTGCCAAGGCTCACAGGAAAGAGTAACAACATAATTAACAGTGCAGCAGTGTTTAGCAACATTCCTTCTGATCTCTGTAGGAGTAGGAGCCTTCAGACTCCAGCCAACATACTCATCATCAATCTAGCTATTAGTGACTTCCTGATGTCCATTACGCAGTCTCCAGTTTTTTTCACCAACAGCCTCCACAAACGCTGGATTTTTGGTGAGAAAGGTTTGTATATATTCTTTCTAAGATATTACTAAGTATGTTTTTACCATAGTGGCAGTTAATTTACTATTTCCTTATCCTCAGGTACCCTTGCAATGTTAAGAATATTTCTTAACATCATTTCAAAGTTGACACGCATATTTCTTTGAACATTTTTGTCTATGTCCAAATTAGAGGAAAGTTACATACATGAGATAGATACAAAGGTGACATTGGCAACGTAAGCCACAGGACTAGTCTTCTTGCCAGCGTTCTTTCCCAATGATCTCATAACTTAGTTACTGGCAGAGTTCTATGAGAAAGAAGCACCATTCCTCAACACACCAGCTTAAAAGCCTCGCAAAAGTGAGTTTTCGCAACAGATATATTAACTGAACATTTCCTGTGCAGTAAGAAAACGTGAAATTAAGGTGCTTTCATTCTTCCTATATAACTGTAGTAAGAGGAAGACTAATCTTTGCCTCTTGAACAGGAATTGACAGAGGAAGGTCAGAGAAATAATGTTGCTATTTTGATCACTGATGACCAAAAGCACATTTTTTTAGTTCCAGGAAGTGTTCAATCAAACACATGTTAAAACAAACAAACAAACAAACAAACAAACAAACAAACAAACAAACAAACAAACAAACAAACAAAAACAAAAAACAAACCAAAACAAATGCCTGCTTTTAATCATTAGGTTGTTTGAATAATTCAAATCACTCATTAATATATTTATAGTCTGCATATTTACTTCAGTTATGCTGACCTTGAGATATAAATGGTTCCATGATATCGAAATAGCTATAACCCATTGTTAAGCAAAACAGCGGTTTCTACAGGAGCTACAGTAAAACGAGTTAAACAAGATATTCGTGGACTGATGAAATGATCCCACTAGAAACATCAGAAATCAATGAGTGAAAATATGTTAAGTATCGCTGTCTCTAGCAATTCAAGCAAACAAAATCTTTGAAGTTTATCTCCATGGATAATGTAATTAGCAAGACAGCAGCTTTGAAATAGCATTACAACTGCAGGAAAACTGAAGTTCCATTGCTTTATAAATTCCAGAAGACATTAGTTCACAAGAAACACAGACTTGAACTCTCCCAGAAATTAATTAGCATGGGTAGATTAATTTCACTGCTACTTCTGTCATCTTCATTGAAAGGCTGTGAGCTGTATGCCTTCTGCGGAGCTCTTTTTGGCATTACATCTATGATTACTTTGATGGTGATTGCCTTGGACAGATATTTTGTCATCACAAAACCTCTGGCTTCTGTTGGAGTGACGTCTAAGAAGAAGGCCCTAATAATCCTGGTAGGAGTCTGGCTGTACTCTTTGGCTTGGAGCCTCCCGCCCTTCTTTGGATGGAGTAAGTGAAATGGAATAAAAGTTTTTTTCCCACATAGCATTGGATTAAAGACTGGTTACAGACATAGAAGAGGGTTGAATTAATGGCTTGCATATTAGGCGTGAATAAATCAGTTTGAAGAAAACTGATAAAATATATCTCAAAACTAAAGATCTGTAACCAAAAGAAAAAAAAATCCAGTGTGTATTACAGCATATTTTATGACAATGGTGCTTTTCCTTAAGCTCATTACTTAATAAAGAACAGTAGATCAAATAAAGGCCAAAATTTATGAAGGATGCACCCATCTATTATCCCATACCTACCTCTGTTGAATAAAATTCAACAATGTAAGAGTGAAATAAATGTCTTTGTGGTTTTTCTGATTACTTTTTTCCTCCCCAAAGGTGTTATGTAAGATAGTAGTGTCAATCTAAATTTCTTTATTCACATAAAAGAGGAATACAGTCTGAGTATTTTGTGCAAGTACATCTTCAGTAAGTCTTGACTGTGTTCCAGATGGGCAAATTGCACTAGGTGCTGGTCACATTCTCCATTCAGCCATTGGTATCTTCACTAATACCTTCAAACTGGAACACACATATGGCATCATGTTCCTTGGAACTTGTAACAAAGAGAGTTTCTGTTATTCTTCCTCACTTGAATCTGTCTCACTATCGTAAATTTATTTCCAATGAGTCATCAGCTTCAGACAGTAAGTTAGAATGAACTCATCATTCAAAATCCCGGCCCATTATTGTGCTTCCTAATTCCAGAAGAGAATTGGTCAGCTCAGCTGAGGTGAGAACACAGCAATGATTGATTTTCCCAAAGAATGTTGCAACCAACTCAGTTTCTGAGCAGAATTTCAGCAGGTTTTTGTTATTGTCTTGTTATTGTCATTCTGATCCCTCATAAACATGAAGCCTGATTAAACAGGCAAACTGCAGTATTGGGAGAAGCAGCCTGTGGTTGAATGAGGAGCTGTTAGAACAACAAAATGACAATATAGTCCTAGATTCCAGATTCTTAATTGGAGAAGGTAGAAAAATTGCTTGAGGGGTTTTGTTATCCTGTAAATAGAATCTAATAGTACCCACAGTACTAACTCTCATACAGTAATTAGATGCATCTGAGCACATCTGATAGAGTATTTTTAAGAGTTCAACAGAAAATCTCACTGTAAACAGTGAAAATGAAAATAAAAATGTAAAAAGATATTGTTGCTGACAATTTCTTTACTTAACAGTTTGACACAGTTCATTCAAGGACATTACATTTTATTTCAGGCAGAATATTACGTATTTATGAATTCTTTTAACTTGTACTCAACTTTACTTCATGCCAAAATTAATTTGATCTGCACAATAAATCTTTCTCCTTTGCACAGTAAATTTTTCTTATCTGCACAAGCTTAAAAAAGTGGGAGCTATAGCAATCAGTTTCATTTCACCCTTTGGGAAGACAGCAATTTGACAGGAAAAGGAGATATTTAAAACCAATATGGGTCTGATCCAAGACCCACTGAAATATTTGGAGAGATGCCCTTTGACTATGTTGAGCTGTAAACAATATTCAAGAACTGAAACAAAATTATTCCGTTTTCCAATCTGAAGCCTTAGACTGCTAAGCGTCAGTACAATAGGGCAACAGAGTGAAAGAAAATAAAAAGAGGTGCTTTAAACAAAGAATCACATATCCTTTTAAACTTTTTTTCCCTTTAAGTGAATAGGACTAAATCTAGTGTTATTCAGAGTATCTTCCTCTAACTTCTGCACTCAGAATAAGAATCAGTTCATGGCTTATGCCTTCTTTTGTCTTTCTAGGTGCGTATGTTCCCGAGGGTCTGCTGACTTCCTGTTCCTGGGACTACATGACTTTCACACCATCAGTCCGCGCCTACACGATGCTGCTTTTCTGCTTCGTCTTTTTCATTCCTTTGCTTGCTATCATATACAGCTATGTCTTTATATTTGACGCTATCAAGAAGGCCAACAAGTAAGTAGCCAACAGTCTTAAGTTTTTATCCTTCTATTTAAGTGACTGCTTATTTTCTTAAAACAAAGACCAACATAAGAAAATTGGGAAGTTCTTCATTTTTAATTTGTACGCACGACTGAGACATGAAATTCTGTCAACAGTCAACTTGGTAAGAAGTATGATGCTTAGAAGTGCCATTCCTGAATTTAAGACAGAGCTGCTCTAATGGTGCAGAAAAGGCTATGAGTAGCAGCAATAGAAATCTGAAGGATGAGAAAGGACTAGAGAAATTAACCAACCAAAAGTACTAAAGGGACATCAGAGACACCTAACAATAGTGTATCAACAACTATTCCACAGAAAAATAAATGTAATTGAACATGTTTGACAAAGGGTGAAAGAGAGGTAAAACATTTAATCACAGGCCTATGAAACAAAAACTGTTGTAAAAATAAAGGCCAATGTCTGCCACTACATTTGTAATCTGTAGATATCTGTCCTGTAGATATCAGCATACCTAGTCACATAGCTCAGAAGTACAAAGTGACAGCAAACTAGCCAAGCTGGACTTAGGGAAGCAAAGGCTTCTCTAACAATACTTAATGTAGCATTGTTCAATTGGCTTGAATACCTGATTTATGTGGAAAATCCTCTGGTACAGGACTACCTTTTTCACTGAAGCACATGTGAATTTTGCCATTGATTAGTGCAACAGAATTGCACTGAATTGTGAAGGACCAGTCACATACATACATTAACACACATTAAAAGTGCATGGCTTTTAGCATAAATGAGCACAAGAGTAATTGTTGCCCCATTTTATGAAGGTATTTGCTCAATTCCCTACTACCTTTTTTTACTGTTGTACGTTTATTTCCCATAGGTCTATTCAGATATTTGGATGCAGACGTGGAAATAAAGAGTTCCAGAAACAGTATCGGAGGATGAAAAATGAGTGGAAGATGGCCAAAATTACACTGATTGTCATCTTGCTTTATGTCATTTCCTGGTCACCATACTCTGTTGTTGCTCTCGTAGCTTTTGCTGGGTAATTATGAATGTATCAGCAAATGAATATTCAGTGACAGCAAAAGGTGTGAAATTGTAAAAGACAGATGAAAGTCAAAGCTACTTGTCAAGTTTAATATCTGAACTGCATCCAAAACACTCACATATTTAGCAGTAACATTTAAAAATGAGGCATATGCTGACTGTGATTTTTTTCTTAGTTTGACTTTAAAAAAGAAAAAAAGAAAACAGGAAGGTTATCACTGGCAATGTACTGTTACTGTGCTGATGATTTCTGAATGCAGTTTCTCTGTGCTAGCACAATTGAAGTATCTGAACTTTATTTGGCACCAAAATGATAAATAAGGGGCCCAAAAAGATCTACCCAGGGGTTGATTCTCTCTTCTTTCTTCATTTCTTTTACTTAAAAAGTCTATTCATTTTCTTGTGCTACATCAAACTGCTGAAATGCTTTACATGTATAATCAAGTTCAAAATTAGTACATACTTGCACTAGGGAGCTTTTTGATGCTGGATACAAAAGTTTGTAAATATAAATCATTTAAGCGTGCTATTCATCTGTTTAATTGTCAGCATTTTATACAGTAATTTAAATAAAAGCACACTATTAATACAATATCTGTACACAGCTTGACAGCAGACTATAGTTGATACAACCCAGGTACAAATAACCAAATGGGAGTCGGGATGTCTTGGCTCTAATCATGGATATTTCTCCCATGTTAACATGTGAATTTTCCTGCACTTCAGTTTAGCCTTTGTAAAGTGAGTGTGACTATCTACTTTAGAAAGTCTTGTCATCTGCAAATCCTCAAATGGAAGACTCTTATGATAGTACAAAACACTTCTCTTTGTATTTTTCAAATCAAAAATAAAAGTAGATTTTCCTAAAATTGACACACAGGATAAATCTACTTATGGTGGAGCATTTTGGGAGGCAGAGGTGATTTTTGTCACATACCTAAGGAAGAGGCCACTGCAAGGCCTCTTCTCAAACATAGCTTAGGAAAGCAACTTCTTAAACATAGCACTTCTAAAAACTTATGCTTAAGAAGAAAAAATGCTAAGAGGATTCTCTCCTTTTGTATTGAGAGGGGCAATTCCAAGAAGCAGCAAACATTTTCTCCATGAAAGTAAACACATTCCTCACTGAGAAATGTGAATCCTCAGGATGTGTCCCAGTGTCCCACTTCCTATCACAGGGGGAGATAGGTGCTGGGCACCCACCACTGGTGATATGTGACCAGCTAGAGACAGAGAAAGAACAAGAGGACAAAGAAATGCAGCACAGCTACCTTGCAGCACTATGCGCTTTAAGATACCTCAAAAAAAAAAAAAAAAAAAAAAAAAAAAAAAGGGAGATGCTTTAAGTTAACAATTTTAGTTATGTAGAACTGTCAGGCTGTCCCATATGACTCAGCATCTACCTTAGGATGATCAAGTGCCTGCTGAACATGACTTCTAGCCCATGTCTTACACTGACAAAAATCTGAACAAATGGACAATTTTATAACTCTACAGTATGTGACAATCGAGCATTTGCAAATTTTGCTCATGAAGACATCTGATGAGCAACACAGCTTTATTCAACTTTTTTCCATTTCTTAACTATGCCTTTTGGGCGATCCTTCTGGGGTGTTTCAGAGACTAATAGTCCAAGCCTGGAGGCCTTCTGTGGACTTTTATTACAACAAACTCAGATAAAATCACTGCTTGCCACGTATGGGAAGCAGACATGGAGTTTGTGGCTATAGTCTTGGACTAAAGACAACTCATCTGACAGAGTAACAACATACACAAAAGGAAGGAAGAACCTTAATTCCTTTAGAAAATATTTTGGATGGGGAATACTGAGCTAGCACAGTCATGCTCAGTAATACTGTTAGCCTACAGGTTGTATGTTCTGGGAATGGTTAGCTTAAACAAAAGCCTTTGTCACTGTTTCTGTTAGTTAAACTCTCCATCAGTCTTACCAAAGCATCTCTCATTTCAGGGTCAAAAGCTCCATTACAGCAAGGTCATATTGTTGTGCATTCTCTAGAAATCTGTGAAGAATTACACCTCTAACCAATGCTTTAAAAGTATCTTTAGGAGAAGCCATATTAAAAATTGTATATGGAGAATATGCTTATCAGAGAAAAGCCTTAAATTAGAGGTGAAATGGCATCTCAACATCCAGGCAGCTGACAAAATGATTCCTGTATTACCATTGGCAAACCATTTCCACCTCATCACGGAGCATAAATATTCCCATAGTAAGATGAAAATTTTCTTCACCAGGAAGATGAGCTGCCACCTACTTATGCAATTCTCTTCATTGTTTGTTTGCAGCATTCATGAGAGACCTTCTTCTGAGAGAGTCTTGAGAGGAAAACCTGTTTTCTCCCATAATATTACAGGAATACAAGGCTAATTAAAAGATGGAGCTTAGACAGTCTTCTCAGGAAGAAGTGCAGTGATAAAGAAAGGATGTTTTCCTTGGAAGGAAAGACTGACTTACTGGGCCATTTCACTTAGAACTCTTTCTATCAATGCAGGAAGAAGTCTTCATAGCCTCTAAGCAGATCTATGGAGAATTTGTCTGGTAGCAACTGTTTATGAAATGTTACTGTTATTTTTGTCTGAGCTGTTCTATTGACTTTCTTCTGACTGCAAACTTATGGGCTACTTCTATCTATCTTCAAAAATCAACCTGCTGATAGCAGCATGGCAGCTAACATCAATCATAATTCTTTCATCCTTTAAAGTCACGTCATCTGCATATATGCATGGTCACAGCAACACATGAGCATAACATAAGACACTTGAAAATACTTTCTCTTCACTATTTAGTTCAGAAAAAATACTTCCTGTCCAGTTTTTAGTTCAGATCAGGCAAGAAATAGTTTAAATAGGAAAATGGATTTATTAGTTATGTTTGCCTATAATGCCTCATTCTGCACACCTATTTAATGACACATTACTCAGCAAGTATATCTGCTGAGTTTGGAACAGACAGATACTCTGAAGAATACACATTCACTTATTGAGGGCTGACTTTATCCCTAGGGTAAACAACATGGGAATTACCACCATCCTGAGTCATAGCAGTGAAGTGCTGCAAGAGAAGCCCCAAGAAAATCATGTTTCTCAGAAATGTAATTAGGCTGGTGTTGACCTTTACAGGCAAAAGATGCAAAATTTGTTCTCTCACTGATTGGGTACAGAACTCCTCCTATTACTCTCTCTGGAGCACTAATAAAGCATTGTCTTGTCAGTGTATAACTGCATAGACTACATAGAACTCAGTACTAAATACATAATGCATTTGCATTACTCTAGGTATTCCCACGTCCTAACACCCTTCATGAACTCAATACCAGCTGTGATTGCCAAAGCTTCTGTCATTCATAACCCCATCATTTATGCCATTACTCACCCCAAATACAGGTAAGTTCACTCTTTGGTGATACGCCATGTTTAATATAGCAAAGAAAATCACACAGTAACTTTGTCACTTTTAGAACCAGTACCTAAACCCTGCTTCACCTGCTCATTTTGCCTTTGCAAGACAGCCTCATCCTCCCGAAGAATACTTCTCAATGCCATATAAATGTCAGTGGAATTTGTACTTGGAACAAATTACTATGCAGATGGGAGATAGAGATGAGATGTTAATGGATACTGATCAGTACTTACAGATTACATGACTAAAGATAGAGACCTTCCCACCTCAAAAAACCAAATTTTTAAACTATCATCATGAGAGATGCAGACATTTGTCTGTTGCAAACAGCTGTTAAATTAACCAGGCCAGTGAGAGATGCAATTCAGTAAGTCTTCTCTATTTTTGTGCATTCTCCCCACCCTTGTTTAAGCTTTCATATTTTAGATAATATTTCTTCTGAGCTGTAACATCTAGGGCCATCACCATAACAAATTCAGATTCAGGCTGTGAGCTCTAACGGATGGCAGCAAATCCATATATATGCACTTGTTCCACCCCTTCCAAAGACCTGCTGGGGAACTGGATAGAGAAGAACTGGGCATGAACTGGGAAAGTCTGGGAAGAGGAGGAAAGCTAGGCAAAAGAGTTTCCTTACAATGAATATGAGGAAAGAAATACTGTCATATAACTGCACATTTTGTACAGCTCTACAGATAGCCACTAAACAGATGTGTGAGAGGAAGCTAGAATAGCTGCTTAGGGGAAGATTAAAATAATTCATTATGTGGTACTTCTGCAAGGTTCAATCTAAAGAGACAGAATTTTATTTTTGCTCTGATTAAGTTGAAAGCAGATAAAAAATCATTTTAATAGCTCCCTTCAGTTCGAAGAGTTATATTTTAATGCCCTTATCCATGCCAACCAATAATTTTGAGTTCTGCAGAACACTGTGAATAAGTGATCTTGCAGGGTGATTGTATATAAGATATTGGATATCTGGAAAACTCTTTTTGTACCCAGTTGTTTTCCAGACTATGCAGCATTAGTTCATCTCTCTGAATAAATGCATTGTTTATGATGACTGACTTTTTGTGCTAACAGAAAAAATCTGACTGGTTGTACCTCTCATCCACTAGAACAGCCATTGCAACATATGTTCCTGGCCTTGGATTCTTGCTGAGAGTTTCTCCTAAAGACTCACGGTCTTTCAGTAACTACCCCTCCTCCAGACGAGTGACTGTAACCAGCCAGTCTTCCGAGGTAAGTGGGCTGCAGGAAGGAAAAAGGCAACTCCTCTCTCTGACAGTGAATCAGTAAGGGAGACACTTCCCATACACCCATTTTTAATTGCGAAGTGATTTATTTTCATATCGAGTCCTTCAAAGTGGTAAATTCTTCAGCTTAAATGCATTATGGTGCTCATTACAAGAGCTCCAAAGAAAGTAGAGGGACAAAGCTAAATAAAATACAGCAGGCAGAAGTGTAAAAGCAGGATGTTTATCTTTGTGTTCTTGATGGCTGGTAACACTGAAGGAAAAGTGGAAAGACAGAACAACACGAATTTTGTTAAGTAAGGGAAGCGTAGAGTCAGAGCACCCTCGAAAGTCTGATCAAACTTCTAGGATGTACTTGTGTACTTGTCTGATGACAGATTTGGAGTCTGGACACACACAAAAAAGTCACTAAATGATTCTCCAGTGAAAACAAGGTTGTAATGAAACTGATACCGTTTTTTGAAAGTGAAGTGGGATGTATTTGGAAATATATTAATCATTAGATTTAGACAAATCCATCAATACATTACAGAATCATTCTCACAGAAGACCTCAACCGCTTGCTACTGCCAGACTAAGTGAAACCAAATGTTTTGCACTGGAGCTAAAAAAGGGGCAAATATTTGGCATCTTAGGCTTTCTCTTGCAACCCAAAGTTACATTACTAACTAACTAAGCACATTAGTTAGTTCATTGCACTTGTTTTAAATGGAATTTCCAAATATATCAAAAGCCATAATTTTCTTGGTGACTCTTTTCCATAGTGAAGGTAATAACTGTATCTAATCCAGCCAAATGCTGACTTCTGACAGTTGTTTTTAACAGTGACATTTCAATTTCTTTGTACTCTATATTCTTTTGACTTCTTGGTCCAATCAAAATTAAATTCTTCTGGTGAGTAGCCACCACTCAGGAGGAAGGTTTTAAAACTCGATAATAAAAAAAGGAAGATTTTTATACTGCATCTCTTAGATTGTGAATCCTGATTCTTAAAAAAACCCAACAGACTCCTTCAGTAACACTGTATGTTCTTGTACTATTATCAGTGCTGGGGAAGGGGAACCACACAAACAATTCAACAGTTCTTCTTGCTCAGGAAAGCAACTCTAAATACTTGAGGTAAAACAGTGGAATGGATAATGAAAATTACCCAAAGTGAAAAATTCCAATTAGCATGCTTCAGTCTGGAATTCTCTATAAGCCTTGAGTAAGTTTGGATCCTATTCAGAACAGTGACAGAGTCAGGATTTTCTGACAAGAATATATGTTCCCCTTAACTACTTGATTTGACTATAGAATACTCTGATTTATTAGCAGGTAATATCAGTTTAGCTGAAGTACAGAGCAGAAAGAAGGGCTCAAGTTTAAAACAAACAAAACTGCTTAGATGCTCACTGATAATTTATTTTGGGGTTTTTTGCACCGTATACGGCTCAATCAAGCTATAAGATGTCTAGACATGCACTCACAATGCAAAAGACAGTACATGTGCTGCCATGTATTTTATGTCAAGGCTGGTCATCAAACAGTAAGCTGATAGATTATCATGATGCAATTACTTTGTACTCCTGTGGATGCAAAGATATTCAGCACCTTGAAAAATCCTAAAGAAACAATTTCCAGTCAGTTCTTTGCAATGAAAAGGAGCCAAGCTCCAGAACAGATGCTCAGAAAATAAAGTTGCTTCCATTTTAAAACTTAATCAAATGGGACTGTAAGTGCTAATAGACTCCATGCATGGAATGGGAAGCCCAGTACACATTTTTTAAAATGTTGGGATCCAGAAAATAGCCTAGCCCACCTTGTGCTTCAGCACAAAAACATATGTTTAGGTTGTCCTCCTGGATATTATGTTAAGATCTTCTAAAAAATCTTCCATGACACATCTCAGTCTGGAGACACTTCACTCTGGAAATCGTCTTCATCACTGCTTCTCCAATCGTTAGAAAGTTGCTTCTGAAGACACAATCTTGATTGTCACCGTTCCAAATTAAATTAATTTTCTCTTCTCCTTCTGTGTTCCCCTTATCCTTCTCCACAGTTCCACAGAAAAAAATATCCTGATCCTCCTTAGAGCACTCAATCTGTTATGTATTAAATTTCTAGTATAGCATCACCAACTGGGATTCTCTCTTAATAGTAACAGACTCATCAGGCCAATTTCTCCAGTTCCATCAAAGTTCATGTTTTTCTACATCTAATATTTTTATTTTCTTCCCCGAGGAGAGTTTATAAAAGTATCAATAAATAAAAGTATCAAATATTTAAAGTATAAATAATTGCTTTGAGTATTTTCAAGCAATTATATACACTTATCTGATGGAAGCTACATCCAAAACACATAGATTACTTATGAAAAAATGTAAGGAAGTATATTGCACTGTTATGTTCCCCCATTTTAAGGCAAGGTAACATTGTCAAACAGAAAATAGGCTGGTTGCCATAAGCTGCTCATCAACCTGTTAACTGTTTCATTGTTTTATTATAATCTATGGAATTCTGTGATTCTTCATCATTGTAGTGAAAACGCTGATAGAGTAAGGAAAAGGAATAGAATTTTTGACTACTAGGAAATTCTGGTGGGTTGAGTTTTTTTGTCTTTTTATTTTTTTGTCTTTCCATTCACTGGAACAAAGTTTATCAAATCCAGGCTCCTTCATGAACCAGAACATTTCTACAGCACTGACTCTGCAGTCCCCAGACATTTCCTTCTGTTTATTTCTGCCACTTTGGAAACTTTGGCCCTAATTCCTCCAAACATCTGTTCTTCCTACTATGGAAACACTGTCTCCTCAGAGCTACAAGGCCCATCAGAGAAGTTTCAACAACAGACTATAACAAAAGACTAATTTGTTTGAAATTTTGCAGTGCCTCCTGTGGAGAAAAAAAAAAAAAAAAAAAAAAAGTAAGCCAAATTTTAGACTCAATAAACTTGATAGTTTTGCTTGTCTCTCTTATAAGCAAAGATTTTATGAAGTCACACATGACATAACTTTTGTGAAATGTCTTTTATACAATGTCTGTCCCTTTTACAGTTTCTGTCTAGGTAAAACTGATTCTTATGGGCCAAACTGGATGGAAGTCCAAGGATGCTAGAATGACTGCTTTTGCTGTATTCATTTTAGGGTGGTACTGACACAGAAACTGATAACCCCAGTATGTTCTCCAGACTTGCTAGCAGACAGATTTCCTGTGAAATGGGTAAAGACACAACTCAAACTAGTGACGTAAGAGTCAAATATAAACTGAAGAGCCATGATTCTGGGATTTGTGAGAAGGTAATAGACTGCGTAGTATCTAAATTCTTTGACAACTGGTAGGTTAACAAATCTGCACATTTTACAATAATTAGTCATGAAGATTCCTGTCAAGAAGATGGGGATAACTTATGAGTTAACACAATACGTAATGATTTAGAGGCGGTAAAAGTAATCAGCTTTTTATTTCCACCCCGGTTTATTATTCAGCTGTCTTTGTTGCATTTCTGACAAGCAATGGTACTGTTTTAGTGAACTTAGCTTCTGAATGGTATGTTGTCTTGTGTTTGGTTTTAAGTGTGTATTCATTAATTTTTGTATTTCACTGTCCAAATGACTTGCTCATTCTTTCTGTTGTCTTACCATTTGCTATCAAATGAACATATATGGTGAGAGACTGACTTTAGCATATCACTACTTTCCAGTCAGTCCTCTGCTGTCCCCTTTTTTTTTTTTATATACTTTGCATTTCATGTATGTAAAATATTGTGACGTACCTATGTGCCATTTGTGTCTTTCTTATCTGTGTTAATTTTTCAGACAGCTGTAGATGCTGATGACATATCCATGGTGGAATTGAATGTCACAGAGTACCCCGCTACACCTACTGTAAGAATTATTTTAATATTTGGCATGGGTCTAACTAACTAAGGGAACAAAAACTAATGACAATTCTCATACCTGAGCACAAATTAAGTTATTTTTTGAGATGCAAAAATCACACGGTACTCCCAGCAGAATATGGAAAACGTGACCACAAGGAGTGGATGATTGCTGAAACTAAGCAGGAGAACACATGTACTACAGGGTTCTCCTTAAGTCCAACTTCTTCAAAGAACTTGAATATTTTATTGAATTCAGTAGGTCCCCTAATGAGGTCTGTGAATTCCTTAGTGGAGCACGGAAGCATTAATTTTGTTCCATCTTTATATGAATATATACACAGTAAGGTGAGATAGCCAGATGGCTGCACCTCTGAGACAGCCATAGTCTTGTGGCAAGTACTTCTGTACAAAGTGACACTGTTTAACTATTTAATGTTCTCTGTTTTGGGTAGCAGCAAGCATCTAAAAAATGCAACTTGGAGGAAATCAAGATAAGTTTTTGAAATATGCCATATCACCTACTCAGTAAGATGCTGCGCTACTGTCTATTTCTTCTGCCATGTAACAAAGCTATGGCATGCTGATAAATCTTTTTTGATATCTGCCACAAGTGAGTCAACTTGCCTTAATTCTTGATAGACAGGGAAATAAGAGAAAAGAGTTGTCAGATGAAACCAAGCCAGTTTTATCTTTGCAGTATTAACCCCAATGTAATATAAACAGCTTAATTTATCTATTCTTAGCAGTGATCCTTATGAACTACTGCTAGCCTCATCCTAACACCCTCATTTTTTGGTCCTGTGCAAGTGACAGCTAACATTGCTATTGTCAAAAAATGCTAATTAATCTTTTCCTCGATTCATGTTTTCATGTCATTCTTTAGTTTGCTTTCCCCTTCAAACTGTTATTACTACATTTTGCATCACCTCTTGCACCAATGAACCTAAACAGTCCCTCTTTATGGAGGGACTCCTTAATTGATTGAATTCATAGACTGTCTGAGCATATTCACAGCACTTTTGTACATAGTCGAATGTGCTGTCATTAGCCTGGTCTTTCATCAAAGTAGACCAGCTCTTAAGTAGCAAATGCAAGTTCTGTGCTTTAGTAAATTAACCTGTTTAACAGCTTCTTGCTCATAAGTTATTAATGAAATATTAAGAAAAATGTTCAGATCTACTTTTTCCTCCACCCTTTAAGTTTGGTTTTGAGTTAGTCACAGGGATTGGCAAAGTGCTTATGTAAATATATACCACTGTTTCATGGATGATGCAACCTCCTTGTAGATGTTTGTGTTTTGCATTTCTTTTAAATCCTTGCACCCTTTAGAGAGGTGAGAGCCTGAACGATATTGGACAAAGAAAAGGAAAGTCTCACCACAGACCACCTGCAGCCCAGATACCCAGCATTACAACAACACACAGCACTGTCCAAGGAATACAGCAGCCTTCTGGATACAACTTTGGTTTTCTGTACCCTAAGATCAACAGCCGCAAGCAGAACAAGAACTCTAACAGCTAAGTGCGTGGTGCAAGCCAGAATGTCACCTTCATCAACACTTCTGGAACAACTATGGACCAGCTGAATCTAGAATACCTTCCTACATTGTTGTGAAATGCTCATACAAAGACACAGCACAAGACAAGCAAGAGTAGTAAGATTTTCAGCATCTGAACTCTCTCCAGTGGTTCACTTCTTGATCTGAGTCACACTGCAATTTTATTATTTCTTCTTTATGCAGCTCATGAAACAATTTCTTTCACTTGGATTTTATTCTGCTCAGGTAAATTCCACCACTGCATGGATCTTACCTACAGGCCTCCTAGGATTAACTTGAGAGGAAAGGGAAGTATGAGATTAAAACCCGGCCTTTGTTCACTTAGTGTAGTTTAACTTCAAAGCTATTAGAGAGCTAAAGCTGAGAGATTTGGGGGAAAATGTACATTAGTTCCTGAAGATGATTTCTTCATTACTGTGAAGTTCTTAAACCAAATGAAAACTTAACCACACAATCAGTGCTCCCTTCTCTCATTAATGACATATTCCCTCATTTTCTTCTACAATCCAATTGAAAGGCAATGCAGTTGAGCAGTAATTTGAAGTCTCAGATCTTTATCTTAATTTCTGTGATTCTAGGGGAAGAGAAGGAAATAACACTGAGGATGAGGCTATGGTCCTTTCCACACTTAGCTTCTTTTTCCAACAGTTGCTTAGGAGACCAGTTTAACCCACTCCTAGCTAACCTCCCCAGAACTATAGGAAAGTATTAGGAAACTCCTTCTGACTTTACTTTAGCAGGTTTCATGAGAAGAATGCAGAATTCAAAGCAGTGTTTGTACTGAAATGTCTTATGGGTAAGTCAATACATTTGCCTTCTGATACTTCAAAGTGGTTTACCTTTAGATGTGCTTTTCTGAAGTAAATCTTGGGAGGACAAAGGTTAGTTCTCAAAAAACAGTTGTTCTCGAGATGTGTGGAATCCACATCATCTCCACTTTAGCATTTTAATTTTTCCCTCCTCCAAACAGCAGCATTCTTATAGCTGAGGTTTTTTTCCCACAGTGACTAAATCAATGAAATAGTACTTATTTCCCCTGAAAGTAAATGAAAAGAGTTCTATGAAATAGTGATTTTCTACTTTTCTCTGGTGCACCTTCTGGCATATGAGAATAAATTAACAAAATTCATTTGCAATCCATAGAAGTCTACATCATAAGAATTATAAGGTATAGTCAATGGGGATGTATACCTTTTGAGCCTAAAAGCAAAGGGCACAAAGAGCTACTGAAACAGTTCTTCCCCATGGGCCCTCTATTAGTTCTCCCTTTGGTTGCAATAATGGAGGGAACCCAGCAAGTAATTTTATCCTAAGTAAATCAGTTCCTCCTTATGTCACATCAGAAAAAAGCCATAAAATCAATAAAAATGTAACCAGCTTATTCCTCTGAGGGGAAAAAAGTAATCAACGGGTTCCAGGAGATTTGGGGCATTGTTTTGAAGCAAACTTTTGGGAACTGAGTTCAAACTGAGGTTTATTAACATGAAAGTTATTAAAACTAAAAATGGAGTTGATAGTGACGTCTGCAGCAGCCAAATATTAGATCATGAAGAAGTGAGTCATTCAGCCTGCTAATAAACTGCCAAAAGAAACAAACTGATCAAAATCCAAGATGCTTTATGTAAATAAAATTGTAGGCATTAGAGATGGAAAGGAGCTATTACAGTTCCTCCCTTCACCTACCACAACCGGATATTGTCTCCAGGCAGAGGACAATATTAAACTGCTAATATATACAGCTAGCAATAAGGAAAAAGAAGAGAGAAAACATACCTTCAAACAGGAAGTATGTTAAAAGACATTCATCAAGTCTAAAGGAATTGTATTATGACTTATTCCTTTGGCTTTTAAAATTATTTAAAAACATGAAGCATATAATTCTTCCCATCCTTTGTCATGAAGGTCATTCACACTAGTGAAAACTGGGACGAAATGCTAGTGAATGCTGCCCATTTCACATGGGTCACAAAAGGCTGAACTTGTCCAGAATATAGGTCAAAACTCACCCATGCTGCTATTTCATGTGTTAATAAGAAGTGCATGGTATGTGTCAGTAAGAGCGAGACCATTTGCTCCTGTCATGATTTTGTTCCCAAGTAGTATTCTTGAAGACTATACTCTGCACATTTCTGCATTCCCTTCCACTTTTAGAGTGTATAAAAAGAATACTTCCATGGCTAGAAAAGCTTTACAAATCCACAGCACGTTGTTCTTTATATCCTTCAACACCAACATGTACTAGAGATTAGTTTGTATCTATAAAAAGAGCTACAGCTGTTTGTGCTCATCTACTTACAAGAGGCTTGAAAAGCATATATTAATTAGGGAGAATTTGTTTGGTACCACTTCAAAACTCTTGTGTGTACTCCCTGTGTAACTAACAGCTTTGCATTCCCTTAATCTCTACTGAGACTATAAAAGTCATCCCGGGGAAAGCCTACAAAATTCATTTCACCTGAATATATCTCCAAGTGATTCACACTGTAACCCCTGTGGCATTTGGAATAAATCATTATTAGTTCATATTTCATCTCATCTTAGCAGCTTTATTTGTGTCCTGTATTTTCTACTTGGCAGCCATTCTTTCCGCTTTGCTGGCTCTTTACACCCTTTAACGCAGATGACTGATTAGATTAAAATAATTTAGGACTGAGATGATTCATGTTCCAGTTAAAGTCAACTGTACAGCCTGTTCTGCACCGAAGAGACCGACTGCAGTTTTCCATGCACCTGGGTATGTTCCAGTGACTTGGAGGTGTGAAAGAACTAGGGCAAAATTGAGGCACTTCCCTTTGGCCTTTTGTAGTACAGCAGCTGTTTATAGAGCAGCCTGCTGGCAAAGACAATAGCAAGCAGTGTTGTGAGTTAACAGACAAACTCTTCACCTCTACAGGCTCAAGCTCAAATTCAGACTTGCGTCACAAGTGAAAATGTTTGGTCTGACCATTCAAGCAATTCTGCAAAACTGCTGAGCAACTGGTCACTACTGGTGGTCCTGCAAAGAAGGTGCCAAGAGCCAGTGTAATCAAAGGCTGTCGCAATTCAGGATTGAAGTACTGCATAAGGCAGCAGTCAGAATTTGTCAATTTTTCAAATTTTCACATATTGCCAGGGATCTTAGTCCCTGTGTTTTGCAGGTTACCATCTCATTTTGGAAACCGTTTTGCATCCGCCGCTTGACTAAAAAGTGTCATTGTAGCATGTGACATTGAGTAAAGTTTCACACATTCTCAGGTAAGACATAGTAGCAATTTCTCTTGAAGTCATATGCAAAACCAACAGCATGCTTGACATTCAGAAAAAAACAAAGGCACATCCAATGCTTCTTGGGTGTTTCTAAAGCTCTTTAGGACACAACATGGGTAAGTCACATGTGTTCATGTTTTCTCAGTGTGACTGGCATAATTTTTTACTTAGGCCATTCCAAGAAGTGCTGCAACATGGCCCTCTTTCTCTGATCTCTCAGTGAAAGATACTACCATCTCAGTAACTGACAGGGCATCTGTCTGTCTGTGCTTCTGAAGCCACTATTTCCACAGGGCTCTATTGAGACAGGGTCCTTATACGCAAAGCAATGTTAGCATCAGACTGGTATTTCACTGGCTGAGCAACTGTTATCACACTTCAAACACTTGTGCTTGTAGCCTTGCAGTTAATGTCACAGGAATGTGAAGAGTCCCATAAATAGGTTTATATAAAATCAGTATTAAAATAAAGAAATAAATGAATAGTACTGTATTTCCTAGCAACCCTAGACATGGGCCACAATCTCATACACTAAACGTTTCCTGTAGAACAAAAAGACTACTATACCTTTCTTACCCCATCAAATTTATAACCTAAATGCTGATTTTTCAAACTCATTAAAAGTTCAGTTGTCAAGATTTAGGTTGCCCTATTTACATAACTTCTAAGGATAGTAGACTGAGTAGATCATCAGTGTAAGCTTAATAAAGCCAGAAAAGCTTCTCTAGAGCAAATCTAGCCTTATCAGTCTAATACAAAGCACAAACATTAGTAAGAAGATTTTTTTTTGGTACGAAGATACTTCTTTCAGTTACAGCAGTCCTGGCAGCAGCAGGGTTCTGCTAGAGACAGCACAGGAATTCTATGTACCTGGATCACAGAGCAAAGCAAATGCTGCAAGAGTCATGACAGTGGAGGAAAATGCTAATACATTTTCCAAACACTGATACCACCTCGCTGTGTATAGAAATGTCAGGATCTTGTGGTATTAGGCTACAAAGCTGGACTCACGGTGGTTGGTTTGCATATTACCTACAAGACCTTTCTGGCAATTAAATTGGCTCTCAAGATTAAGGTTCACCTGAAAATGGGGGTAAATGGTAGGACCAGTGGCTGGGAAGAAGGGAAAAGGATTCATCCGTCTTTACAGTGATTTTTTTCCTTCCTATCCTTCTGGGTTGGTTTTATTTTGTTTTTTTTTAATATTTAAACTTACACAAACAGTAGTATTGCTGCAGATGTAGTACCAAAGACTTTTTTGATTACTTTCACCAAAACTTTAACAAATTTTAACCAAGTCTCCTTGCCAAGGAGACTTTATGTGGGAGAACCTTTTTAAGACCCACTTTCACTTGGGCTACTGCAACACATACTCAGTCATAATCCATAAGATCTATGACTCAAGCACAGAAATTCACAGCAAAACTGGCCTAAGTAGGCCTTCTGATGATGACTGTAACTTGAAAGATAAGTAGAATTTGAAGAAACACCCTTTTTAACTTTATCAGGCCGAGTCAAGCCTTAGGTACGCTGTAGAGCAGAGTGAGCTGCAGCTCAGTTTAAACTGTCTCAGCAGACAAACACAGACATAACCTGAAAGTAAAGCTCGTCATGCGCCTCTTAGTCCATCACTGTTTGGTGTTTTCTTTTATGGTGTATGTAATTTTCTAATATTACAGCTTAACCTGGAGATAGTTATCTCCTACATTAGTAATGAGAAATTTTACGATAACACAGTTGCAGTATCTGTTGCATTATATGAATCTGTGTTTGTTTCTCCCTGCAAAGAATCTGCTCTCAGTATTATCATCCAATTTCAGCATTCTACCTTGTTATGAATAATTAGCTTCAGTCACTAAAAAATGAAGATAAGAAATATGTAAAAAACTTGCTAAGGGGAACTTTTACAAGACATGTTTTACCCATGATGTAAACAAAGGCTTTATTATTTTCCCTGAACTTTTAGAGTTCACTGCAACTTCCACAACTGTACAAGAAGATGGTTCAGAAATAGACACAAAAATCTGAGACTACATTGTTGGACACAAGCTCTCTCATGTAAAGTTTGATAAAGGACATTTCCTCAATAGGCTGTCAGACACTTACAGGCATGCTTACAATTGCTATATGTTTTCCACTGACTGGAAAAGTAGAATGGAAAATCCATGCCCTTCCACACAGTGCCATGCCCGAAGGGTCACACAGAAAGTGACTGTACCTCTAATATAACAGCAGTTCCTTCAAAAGCTCCAGTACTTTAAAAATGTATTACACATGCCCAGATGCACCCTTTGGATTAGTATAATTGATTTTTATAATGTTTTTCAGATGCTTAAAGTTAATTATGTTCAGAAACATTTACACAACTCCTCAGGACACACAGTTTAAATGAAAGAGTTAAGAGTATGTTAGTTTGGTACTGAAAGATAGTGAGTTTAAAAACTATTTTCCTAGACTAGTATTTGCTGTTAACTCCATATAAATGTACATTAATAAATCTCCTAAATTTCACATTTTTAAAGCTAATGTTAATACTGATATATGAGCTGGGCTGCAAACCATATTGTTATTAGGCCTACTGTGATTTGATGTAGAAAGCAGTAAGCACTTTGGTATAGCAAACCCTTACAAAGAGGAGGAAGGACCTGAGAAAATGCACAGAAGTTAGAATCGGAAGTTCAAGATTCTATTTTTTTTCCCCATGTTTTCTGTGTGACCTTGGGAAATTACTTAATCTTCTCATATCTCAGTATTTCTACCTGTTAAATAGAGATAATATGCTCTTCATCATCATGAGGTTACCCTCAACTTGCTTTTGTAGTTTGTTCCAATTCACAACTGGAAATATAATTTCTTTCTCCACTGCTCACATTTTCTTTCTTTACTGTATGGTTATCAAAAAGTCTAAACTATACTATTACATATGAAAGTCAAAGATTGTTACTGAAGTTGATAAGGGATGCATAGTAATTCATTTTCTCAATAGGAGTTATTCAACAGAAATAATATACAGATGCCCATCATGCTGATTTCAGTTATCATTTACAGGTATATTTTACTTTGTAACATGAATCAAGTAGAATCAAGCATTTTAGAACTAATGAAAATATGTACCATGCAATTGTGTACATTCTTCGATCACAGAGCCTGATACGTAAAAATGTATTCCCTTGAAGAAGCTGAATATTAAAAATCGCTGCATCAAATTTTGCTCCATGGTACATAAGCAGAAAGGAAAACTACCTGTAGAGAGGATGCTGAAACAGATATACAGGAGAAACAACTAATTAACAGGAGATGATTTAAGAGAGGGATCCTTGAAAGAAGGCTGAGGTCTCCATAGGTAAGGTTCATCCCTTGAAGTCAGTGAAGTCAAACAGACAGCAGAATCATTTCTAGGGTTTTCTGCTCTATTAATGGGGCAAAAATTGTCAATGGAAGAAAGGAGTCATTGACCAGCAGTGTCATCCAGGAAACAAGGGCAACATTAACAGGATGAAGCACTACAAAATCAAACGAAGATTTTCACAACCTTCCCTGGATATTGCCTAAAATGAAAATCAGAGAAAACTGTACAGTGCAGCGTGCTCTGAACATCAGATAGTTGTTTCTGTCCTGTCCAGATATGAACTACCCTTTTCAAGGCCAACTTCCACTTTCATGCCTCCATTAATGTCAAAGCATTTAAAGTAGTGCAATTCCTCAAAGTTTGAACTCCAGCAAGTGTTAAGAATACAGTGAGGCTCAGACATAAAAGGAAGGAATGAATAAGACTATGTTCTTAAAAACTTACAGAAGCATTTCTAGTGTCTGGAGCATGTGGATATTATCACAGAGTGCTGGGTTCTCTAAGGTAACTGCCCAGTGCCCAAGCCATGACTTCAAGTAAATCAGTTCTCCATCAGACTCCAGGTAGTATTAATGTGCACTAGACTGGTCATCATTGTAAACACATAACCAGAGAATAGAACACACCTCAACGGCTTGGGTAATACCGCTCCCCTTATTTGTCTATATTAGACATGCTATGCAAGTTCACTTAAAATAAAGAGGAGAATAAGAAAAACAGGTTTAAAAACAAAACAACAAAAATTGTTTTTCTCTTTTTTAACCAACAGTTTCAGATCAGAATTTAGAAGTTCTTTCTCAGTGCCACTGCTCACCTTCATCCTGTTGTGAAGACTCCAGAGAGCCTGCTGAGCTCATCCCACATCTCCTAAAGATGCTTCTCATTTTCCCTACTCAGCAACGAGTGACCAGTCAAGTCTTTGCTAGTTAATCCACAGGGCCAGAGGACAGGCCTTTGCTCACCCTTTCCAAGGACCTGGCATGAAATAGCTATTTCTCACTTCACTTCTCTTTGTAACCCTGATCCCTTGAGTTCCCCTCAGCCCAGATCTCCACTCCTTTGTACCAGGCAGATCCTGTGGTCAAGCATTCCTTGTCACTTAGCCCAGAGACAGTCCCGGAGCAGTCCAGCTTTCAAGCCCTCCCAGCAGTATCACCATCTTCTAGTTCTCACTGGATCACACTTTTAGTATCCCTTTCCAAGCAGTCCCTAATGCCCTCAGGTGCCAAAGCCAGCATTAATTAAACACAGGCCCCTCCTGACTGTTAAAGAAACCATGTATGCTTCCACCTTAGCAAGTAAACAGATGGACTCTGGGTTTATAATAATCCTCCAACTGTTATTTAAAAATATGAATCCTTTTGATGCTGCTGTCCTTAGCTGAAGTCTCTGAGTAACAGAATCACATGGCAGAACCCTTAATGTGTATTGATACATCTTATTTGAAGTGCTCTTTTCCAGATGCACTGGTTAAAACTCACTTGCTGTTGCTGCTCAGTGAAGTAAGAAGAAAACTTAATCTGATGAAGGACAGAGTTGAAGTAGTAGAATCAGGCAGCTCAGTGGTTGGCCATATTCACTGCATAGATTCCTTCTGAAAATCATTCCTCTGAAAAAGAAAAAAACACACCCACCTTTCAGGTCCTGGATCATTATGTTGAGTGAGATGAGAAATAAGTTTCATGCAATAAAAACTATTCTCTTTGGGTACTGTGGAGATCATTTATTTTTACTGGAGGAATTAAAACCATGAAAACTCCATGAAACATTATGTGAAACTCCATTTCAACAAATCACACCCTTTTTAATTCTTGCTTTACCCCAAATTGTCATGGTATGGGATGGCCAAAGGAAAAGGAAGCAAAAAAGAAAGCACAATTCAGGATACCCCACTAGCATCGCATCAAAATAAAGTGACTGACAGTAAATAAGCTAGGGAATCCTGAAGTGTTGCAAAACACAGCAACTTCATTTGAAACTTGCCTCTTCTCTTTCCCGTTGTGGGCCACTATCAGAAAATGAACTTACAGTTACCATCTTGTGTCAGATTTCTCCTTGCTTCTTTCACAGACTCAACCCTCCTTGACTTTTTCTCATGTGTAGGAGCCAGACCATACCAAATCCAGAGACAGGGCAAAGGAGGCCACAGCATATGCATTAGAGCACTACATCTTGCAGCTTCCCCTCATTGTGCTGTTTCCTGAAATAGAATCCCCATCACAGCTCAACCTGCTCCACTTTTACTGGGTCACAGCACAAAGGCAATTGCCTATTAGAACAGGTCAGGAACATGGCAATAGTGTGAGCTGCCTGAATTCCAGTTTTTAAAAATAAAATTACTGCAGTAGTTTTCAAAATAACACAGATGACTGTCCAACACAATTGCAAGCCATTTCTGAGAAACCTAGGATTTGGAGTTTAGATGAGATCAGTGCATTTCTTTTGCCAAAAGATGGCTAGGGCCACATGCCTTACCAGTACAGCCATACAGGTAGGAATGGCATGATACCAGTAAGGACTTATGGCATAATGATTCAGCCACATGAGGTGGATCCTGATGAAAACTGGGTTTCAGAGAGATGTAATTTCTCATCCACTATTTAAGGAGGATTCTCTGAACAGAAAATCATGGCAGTTAAACTACTTCACAGGGATCTCAAATCTGTTCTGAATTTGTCAGTTAAAAATGCTAAACCAAACCAAAATGTCCCATGGCGATAAAGCAACATTACCTACTAAGCACTTTGTGTCTTAGTGATTACTTGCTTAAGATTTTCACAATACTAGTATTTCTTCCTCAGTTTTGGATCTCTCAGGACCAGAGACAGAGATTTAAGAAAGGATCCTGCCTGTGAAAAGGATATTCAACTGAACTTCAGCAACTGAAACTCTTTGAAAGTCCCAGCCTAAGTATTAATGCCACAGGCCCATCTATTACGTATTCAGTACAAATTATACTCAAAATATTGGCTGATTTCAGAAGTCAGGACGACACCATAATGTTTCTCTTTCAACATATGACTGACTTGTAGGCACTTGTCTTCCTCTGCTGCCTCCCTCCAAGCGCTAGTGGCTTGGTTCTACTTAAGAAACATTGGTTCCAGCAGAATTATTTTACTTCAGTTATGATTTGACTGCTATTTTATTTTATCTCAATTTGAAAGATCACACTGAAAGAAAAAAGCTCACCACAGACCACACATTTAATGGGAACTTTCATTCCAGTCCCTCTACAACTGATATCCAACATGTAAAGGGTTGAGGAACAAAATAAGGTAAATGGATTAAGGAATAAGACATTCTTGTTGAATATATGGGAGCTCTGTTCTTGTTAACTCGTGCATTCCTTTAGACATGGGAGAATTGAAACAGGTTACTCATATAATAGGGTCCTGAATTTGTATCCCACTTGTCCTCCCCTAGGCCACTGAAATTCAGTTGGAAAGCTTGGCTGACCCTAAACAAACTTTTTATTATTGAAATTGCCAATAAAGCTACATACTAATTTAATTTGTTTACTTATTGTGATTGAACAGAGGTCATCAAGAACACTTTTTTGATATCACATGCCTTTTTCTCCCATTCCTTCATTCTGCTTACTGCATGAAAATAACGTGCAAGTGCAAATTACATATCCAATTTGTCAGTTCCCATCTTACATGAGTCATACATTTTGCATCTGACCATCAAAACATTCCTGATCTTTCTTCCTCTCAACTGAGAAACCATCTTCCTACACACCTTCCAAATAGGAAAAAAACGACCACTTGGGAGAATCAAGCTAATTCAGCTAGCACACTGCCTTTCCTGCTTCGAGTTCAGTTCCTCCCTTATCCCCAGCACAACTGAAAACACTAAGAAAGGAATGGAAGAATGTGTGAATGAAATCAGATGACTTTTGTTAAATTGTTATTAAATAGCCAAGCCCTCACCTGAAGCAGTTCTGTCATTGTATTTTGTTGGAGCATTTGGCTACAGTCTCCTAACTTATGTTGAGTAGCAAATGTTTGCTTTTGCTTATATTCTTTTGTGTAGATTTATGTAACTGGCAGAACAGACTGCTAGCATAAATGTATTAATTGAAAGCTGTTGTGCTATATTTCCATTTAGTTTGTTCTATTTCCCTTTTAACAGACATACTGCTACAATAACAGGTTACTACAGTTTATCTGTTGAGGTGGTAGTGTTAAACAAATTGACTTTATGCTTGAAGGGCCAGGAACAAATCTGTGGGGTGTTGAAAGGTGGGGCACCAACATGCTAACCTTTTTTTAAAAAACATATACCCGCAGTCATTCTCCAGTGGCCAACAAGCTTATTCTAAAATCATTATCTTTACCTGCAGCTACGAAGGGGCCAAAGCATTCCACTATGAGAAAAGCCATTGAGCCAGTTCCCATGTTCTATTTACAGTTAAATGAAAAATTGTCAGAAAAGTGTGGGTCATTTTGCTCCTCCTTCACTGCTTGATGCAGTGAATGTATCAGCAGCAGAGCAAGGTATTTGTTAATTCTGCTTGTTAAAGTAGGTGAGCTGGGCAGTCTTTCTTCATTTGGATAACCCAGAGGTCATATATCCCTTTGTAAATACCTCTTTTAAAAGGCTCTGGGAATGTATATTTTAGTGCTCACACAATTTTTTAGTGCACAAGGGGTGCTTGCGTTAAGCTCTTGTTTGGAAAATCCAACTGGCTCACAGTTTTCTCAGCGAAGTTGATCCTGATCTTCAGATATCACAATTAAAATTGTTTCAATAAATCAATAGGCTCAAGTGAACAAATCATCAGATCAAGGCACCAAGTAATGAAACTGAACAAGACTGATACTCAGCTGATGATACTTTGTGGTAAGTATCAAAGATAATCAATTCTGAGCCAGAATATGGCATTATCTCCCTCTGTGACCTTGAAAATTCAATTTACTGCAGTGCCTAAGTTTATCTGTAAATGGGCATGTTGTTCACTCTTGGGGTGCTGCAAGGCAAAAGTAGGAAGGTTTTGCATAAAGGCTGCAAACCGTAACCTTTTCCCCGTACTCAAGCAGAGGATTAGCAGTGCCTGTTTGAAGAAAGATGCAGTTGATTAATCATTCTTCAACTGATAGAGTGAAACAGGTGGGAAGAGATTCACCTTTCCCTTCATACAAATAGCATGCATTTACAACTGAATACTTAAAATTGAACAGTGAGCTAGAATTAAGAGGCCAACATTTAGCTAGATAAACTAACTGGAAATAGATCAAGTTTAAACTTAAAGAGAATTCCAGCTTTTCTTCTGCCTAAAATCAGAGCACAAGATTTGTGGACATTTTGTAGTCACCACTGACATTTTGAGGCTGGATTGGCCTCAAGTATGAAAGCAGCCTGGGTTATGAGTCAAGCTGCATTGCTGGGGTTCATCCTGCTGACAGTCCATCTTGAATTACCTACTGCCATAACTCTGTTTTTACCCTCTACTAGGAATGTTATGCTAATAAGGTAGCTCAGGGAAATGACAGGAACAGTCCAAGGAGGTTACCACTTGAACAGCTTGCTTTTTTATGTTTGAGCAAAACTCTAGAGCAGCAATTCACAATGGTTTATCGAACTCTATGTAACAGCTTGACATTTTGATTGTTTTGTTTGCTTGTTTGTTTGCTCTTGTATGTGGACAATGTTAGGAACTTTGCAAAACTGCTAAAATAGGACTGAAAATGGGAATGACGAATCTCTGTCTTACAAGGGTAAAATCACCAAAGTAGAGTCACTCTAAAAATATGATTCTCATCTGAGCTGTGCTTGCTACATTTTCCTAAGAATTTATGTAAAATTTCTGGAGAGAAAAAAAAAAAAAAAGTATTTTTGAAGATCCAAAATATTAGATTCCTTTGGCAGCTTTTTTTACCAATGCCAGAAATAAAGCTACAATCCTACATGAATCAGACTCTTAACTGGACATATCTATAGTCCTAATTTTAAAGAAATTCCTTCCAGTCTTTTACCAGAGAGAAGTGAAAATTGTGAATTGTTTTGCGAATTACTCATTCGTTCGCTAAGGACAGAAGGAACAGACCACTGAATCTCCTGCCCCCTTACATAGCATGTGCAAAGGACAGTGAAAGTCAGAACTGCTAAGCAATGAGCAACCACAGCTGGAAAGGCCTCATTTACTGGAGCTGTTACAGTTTGGGTAAATGACAGTGCAAATGAACCCCATGTCTGCACTCCTGTAAAAGTTAGCACTTCTGTCTGAACAGTCGCATCAAAGTCACCATAGAGAAATAACACCTACACAGCCCACCAAACCCAAAGGTAATGTCTTGTTATTGGTTGTAATCAAGTAGAAGCTCCCAGAAAGCCACAGTCATCACTAGCTTATTTCTGAATTTGGCACTGTATCCCCTTCAGCTGGGCAGGGAATGAGATCAGACATGAGAAGCATTATCCCAGGAGAAAGCACATCCATATCTTGTGCTGCAGTGTATTTACTTTACATGCTGGTTTTGGTTTTCCTAACACCATCATTGCTGAGGAACTCCTCAGTAGCTGAGAAGGCCAGCCTTGTTGGGAGGCAACCATTCTTTGATGTTCCCACCTCTGATGGTTGTACCTTCAGTTTACACTTACTGCAACTAAACTGTACAGACAGCTTACTAAAATGTCTCATAACCCTAATGAAACCATATTGCAGAAATTTATGAAAAATGAGGGGCTTGTTTACAAGGAAAACAATATTTCTGTGACTGATCTGAAGATTATCAGGTAATGCAACAGTTAGGGAGATTAGAAGAAAAATGACTTGGAGAAAGACTTGCGGAAAACCCAGAATTAGTCTTTGACAGAACTAACCGAATTTCCCAAGAAAGGAAATTGCCCAGGCTTGAATGAAACTCATGGGTCAAAAGCAAGTAACACTGAGTGAGTCAGAAGGGAAAATGGACAGCTAAATCCACCAGCAAGCTACTTTCCAGAAAGCAAATAGGATTGTTTGCACAGGGTGGCCTGGCCAGAGTAGTCTCAGACTTCAGCTTCTTGTACTAGGTGGTGATCCTGAAGGTGTTTCACAGAACTCTTCCAAGGCCACTTGTAGTTCAGCAATGTATTTTTGAAACATTACTTAAAATGCAAGTTTGAAACTGTAACTAGTGCTTGCTAGAAAAAGAGGACAGAGGCTTTTATCCCTACAAAAGACAGGCACAAGTTTCTGGGAACAAGTTTGTAGGCTTTTTTAGAGAATGCTGAGCAGGTAGGGCTCACATACTTCCAAATTCCCTGGCCCTGAGTAACTTAGTGAGCAACACACAAGCTAGAGAATTGTACCCTGTTTCAAAGAAAAACAAATTCTGAAGCAAAACTGATCTGTAATTTATCAGACCAGGATTATGGGCCAATTTGCGGTCATCCTTGCTGATGTCTTTACCGGGGAGCAGAAAATCAGATTGCTAAAGGCCTTGTAAGGGTTGAATGCCCTTAAATCTATATACTTTTTCTATCACATGTGGAATGGAATAATATGACAGATCATCACCCTGTTCATAATAAAATAAACATAATTTCCCTCCACCTGGATCACGTTTTCCAGCCTAAGTCATCAATTATGACACTTTACAAGGCTTGCTCATCTGCAGAACTACTTGTGGTCCTTTTGCAGCTTTTGTTATTTAAAGAGGGCTTCGAAGAGACAGCAGAGCAGATGAGCAACTCAAAGGATGACAAAGAGCTGCCACAGCCAACTCCAAGGATAACAAAGCATGTATTTTCATGCCGATATTCATTAACACAGATCCCACTGCAAAAAGCCTCTGACAATCAAAACTCTTACCCCTTAAACACACTACTGAGAGTTTGAGGAGGGTTTTAAATGATACAGCATATAATGAAATTAGTGCAGAGCACACAGACGTACCTAGCCATGTGCCACAGAAAGTCAAATCAGATTCTGCCCTCATTTATTCCCACTTAATCTTCCTAAAGAGAATCAAATAGCCTTGATGCAAACAGGGTATGAACTTGCACAAGAGGGAGGCTTACAGCATGGTAAAAGCGTTATTCAAAGCTGAAAAATCAAATATCTATTGAAGTTCTGAATCTTCCTGGCAGAAGAGGAAAAGCTATTTAGGCCTTTTGTTATACCAACTTCAAGATGAAATACTCAGTCAGTTGAAAAGCACCTCGCTGCACTGTTACACCCTGCAAATTTTTCATTTATTTTCATTAATTGGTAGATATTAAAGTATCTATCATCATCAGTTGGTTAGCATCACCACTTGTCAATAAAGATACACAAAGTTTAAATAAATTGATTGGAGTAAATTTCTTACATATTATCATACAATTTCACTGCTGCCTCAAGACTAATCTAACAGCAGTGGTTCATAGTTCTGATAACTGTGTAATAAGAAGCAATTCTAAAAAATACTTTGGTATTTCCACGGCTCGAGGCATCAGTAGCCACAACCAATAATTTTACAATCAATTTTCTAATTGCTTTATTAAAAAACAAATTGAATATACTGCTGTCAGTATAATCACTTTTTTCCCCTAATGAGATGTATAATTTTAGCTATGACTGAATTTTGGAAAAAGTAGTATCTAATATGCTGTTGAAAAGTAAGTGATCTGTAAAACTGATTTTCTTCCTTCTGCAGCAACCATCGCATTATTTTCTGCTTTGACGTAACTTGGGGGGGAAAAAAAACGTTGCAAGGATTTTGCTTTTAGAATCTATGTTAAGACTGATCTGCTCTATCTATACGTTGCCTTAGATCTGACAAACCTTTTGTATAGACTGCATATAGTCCTGTGGTTATTATTGTTAACTTTAATGCTCCGTGAAAAGCAGTGTATTCGGGCACTTGACAAGATGCAAAATGTTTCCTTTGGGGATGTAAGCCCACTTGTCAGTGGAATATTTTTGCAACTACCATTAAGTCACAATCCATATGAATATGAACTTTGGGCAAACATGGAAATAATTTAGATCATGATTTCCCGGCCCGGTCTGTGCACCCTGTGCTATTGGACCCAAAGAGCCCACGTAACGTGCATCGCAGTCACGGTGCAGATGTGGAATAAAGAGACTTTCGGTTCCGTAAGACGAGCAAGACTAAACCTCAAGCGCAGCCCTTCGAAGTAGGCTGGAGCCGCGCTGCCGCAGCGCTCCCAGCGGTCGCCGTGCGTTCCGGCGCTGCCGCTGCCGCTGCCGGCCCTATTCCCGCGCCCGGCCCGTGAGGCCCTTCCGCGCCTCTTTCCAACCCGCAGCTCCCGCCAGCCGCTGCCGCCCAGCCCCGCGCGGGGGCCCGGCGGTCCCACCGCCCCGCCCCGCCCCGCCGCGCGCCCCGCGGAGCGCCGCCGCCCCGCCCGCTCGGGGCCAGGCGCCTGTCCCTGGTGCTGACCGGGCCCCGCCCCAGCGAGCCGCCCGCGCCCGCCGCCCCCGCCGGCAGGAACAGGCGCTTTTTTTTTTTTTTTTTTTTTTCTAACAAACTCATACCGCAGTGGCTCGGCTGTTGCACTGAGAAAACAGCTGTATTTCTAGAAGATAACTTCGGGAACATAAGAAAAAAAACCCCATCCCATCGCACTGCTGACTAGAGGGATGTATGTAGTGGGTAGCTTGGATCTGGACAAAACTCAGCAGTTGTATGAAGTTACCACAAGGCCAAGCATCTTAAATTTCGGTGGGCAACTACGTTGTTCATTACGTATTTTTTTGCAAATCGTCTTCCAAACCCTTCGTCTCCTTTTGGGCTGTCGTTTTAACTTTTCCACTCTATGAAAATGGCCATTACCTATCAACACCAGCGAACCACTTGCGGGGGGCGAGGAGGAAGAAAACTTCACTTCCACTTTTCCTAAGGGGAAATCAGCGATTTCACCCGTGGGCCGGCGGTGAGTACGCGGGGTGTGAAGGCTGCAGCCGTAAGAGCCGTTCCTGAGCTTGGGCAGGACACCGGCTTCCCGCCGGCAGCCGAGGCGGCCGCTGCCCGCTGCGGGGAGTGCCGCCGAGCCGGGGCAGCCCCCGCCGCCTTCCAGAACGTTCCTGGTCCCTCCGGCGGGCGCCGCCCTCCCCGCTCCCCGCCGCCGCCATTTGCTCCCTCGCCGCGGCCCTGAGGGCACCCAGACGCGTGACGCCCGGCTCCCCCCGGATACCTGCTCCCCCAGCGCTCAGCCGAACCGCTCCCCACAGCTTTGTGTCACCATCCTGCTCTGCCACCGAGGCCGAGAGATGATTTCCGTTCAAAAACGGATTTTTTTTTTTGGTTTGGTTGGGTTTTTTTTTCTGTTTAAGAGTGTTCGGGCACGGCAGAGAACGGTTCCCTCGCCTACCGGTCACTCGGCGCCCGCCCGCGGCAGCGGATCCCCTCACGCTCCTCCTCGCCCCCCCCCAGCGCCCCCTCGCGGCCGCCCGCGCGCAGCGGCCTCCCCTCAGCGAGGGCACGCCACGCCCACGCGTGGCCGAGCGGCCCGGAAGGGGCGCGGGCGCTTTAAAAGCTCCACCTTGGCGGCCGCGGTGCTTCCCTCGCCGCGGGAGTGTGTGTGGGAGGGTGCTGGTCGCGCTGCCGCCTCGCCCGCTCCTCTCGGCTCCTCTCCGCCCCTTGCGGGGGGGGGGGGGGATGGTGATATCCGTGGGTGCGTGTGACCGCAAGCGCCGCCCGCTGAGGGCAGCTGCGGCTCCCGCGGGGGCGGGGACCTCCCCCCGCCGTTCCGCTCGGGGGCTTGGCGGCGGCGGAGCAGCCGTCCCACGCGTGTCCCGCCCCTTCCCCCCCCGGCGGCTGCGGTGCGACACGGTAAAGCAGCGCGTGGCCGGAGGTGGCGGTGGGGCTCCCGCTCGGCCTCGAGATCCCAGGGGCGCGCCTCGAGGTCCTGCTGCGAGTGGGCGAGGTGGGTCGCTGAGGGAAGGAGCGGCAGGGCGAGGGGACGAGCTCCGCCCGTCACGCAGCGTGGGGCCGTGGGTGGTGGGGGCCGTCCGAGTCCCGCAAGCCTCCACCGGCCCGCGTGTGCGTGGGGAGAGCGGGCTGCCAGCGCCCTCCGGTTCAGAGGTCGGGAGGGAGAGCGCCGGCGCTGCTCTGGCCGAGCGCGCTTTAAAAGTCTCCCCGCAGGTGTAAAGAGCTTCTCTGGTGGAAAATGTCACCCGGGAAAGCCTTTCCTGGGAAGGCAGGGATGAGCAGCCGAGTCGTTTAGCTGAAATCTAACCCTGGGGAGCCTGCCCAGTTTCAGATGCGCTCTTGCATCCTTCTGCCCACGGGCACACGCGTCGGGGCGCAGCGCTACACCGGCGTGGTGTGGTGATCCTTGAGGAATCCGTGCAATGAACAAGTCGCGTCGACGGCACAGGATCCCTCGTCTTAAGCCTTGTTGTACGGTCATTGCGCTGTGCCAAACCGCAGGCTCCCTGGAGGCAAGCCACCGCCGCAGAGGTCCTGTGGCATCAGTGTCATAGTTCAGTCCCTGGTCTGCGTGGAGCTGACAGTGACCTGCACATAGCCACCTCAGCCATTTGTGTGTGTGTCTCCAGGTTGATTGGTTTGTTTGTTTTTTTCTTTTGCCATTTTCTCCTGTAAACCCAAACAGTCAACATTAGGATCCCCTGCAGCAAGGCACAAATTACAGTAGTCACAGGGTTGCTATAAATTTTCCTGGTTTCAGCCTGGAGTTGGGGGAGAATGATAAAAACAGTGGCAACGCATTTTGCAACCTCCTCATTTTGGTTCAAGTACACATGTTAGAAACTGAGACCTGCATTTTAATTCAATTGCTGCTGTTGACTCATTTTATGACCTAAAGCTGCTAACCTGAGCGTTATGGCGACTTACGTAAAAAGGACATGGTAACAACAATAGGTGTTTAGGTGTTCTTTACCTTAAAAAAAAGAAATTTGATATCCTGGCAAGGTAGGTGCCACAGAAGTGTTAAGCATTACATGCCTTAGTGGGTGCCTTGACAAACAATGAATGAAATGCTGGTAAGGTGAGAACCTGGTAACATACACTTAAGTCTTTTTGTAATACAGAGGCAAAGAAGATTTTGTGAACAGTCTGGACGAATATCTTTCCTTCTTCCCTTCCCTCAGTAGCCTGTCTGTCCACGGGTTTCCAGTTTAACATAGTTACCAAAAACCTTCAAATCTTTTACAGATCAAGTCTGACTACACTACGGTATATACCCAGTCTTTTGTGGTAGTGAAAAGAGGTTGTGGCAGGGAAAAAAAGGCTAGCCTGTACGGGAAAAAGTGTGAAATGTAATTTTTCTGTAATGGTGAAAGTAGTCATGGTGAAGGATCTAGAGGGAAGGGTAAACAGCAAATTTGATTAATCAGTAAGGTGATACTGGCAGCAGCAAACAGCCAAACAGAAAACAGTCAGAGCTGCGTTTCTGAAGGCATTGTATTACAGAGAAGGGAGATAATAGTCCATCATTATACTGCTCTAGCATATTTCTTCAGCAATACTATATTCTGTTGGGACCCACAAACCACCTTAGTAGAAAGGTATCAACAAAGCAAAATTTGGTGAAGCCAAGTGTGATAGAAAATGTAGTTTCTTAAGAAAGATCAAAATAGACGACTGGGGACAACTTGATGAAAGGACTAAGAGGAACTGAGAGTTACAAAGTTCTGTGAAAATTAAAGGGTTTTGGTTAAATGGGTGAAGGAAAGTCATGGAAGTACAAGTAGAATTAGCTCAACTTCAGAGATCAGCAGTAAAGGAAAGGAGATGGCAATGAGCTCTTTTGCATTGTAGAATAGTCTTCCTTTGGAAGCAATACTGAACTTATGGTGAACTTGTGGGGAAAAGTTTTGCTCTTGGTAATTACTTTTATATTAAGTTTGACATTGGCGAAGTAGGAATTCAAAGCTAAAAAGCTTTTACATCCCTAATGTGTCCATTTCAAGTTCTTTAGCACTGATTAGCCAATATATAGTAAATATGTGCTATTTTGTCCCGTGGCTTGCAATGAAGATCAGTTTCCAAATACAGCTGTTGTTTGCTCATTATTTCATGTAGAATGTAATTAGCATTGGGTTCATTCAAAATTTTGGAAAACTCTAGGATTACCTGTATCAGACGTCTGGTTTGACTCTTGGGTTTTCTTCATGTATGTGTCTAGGTGAGTAGTTCCTTCACATGCTCCCGATCCATTCTCCTCACCTTTCCACTCTGCAGAAAGAGTGCAGAAAATCTTACTGGGGCCAGGGAAGGAATCAGTGAGACAGAGAGAACATGTCTGTCATAAAGCTGAGTGCTGCTTTCTAAATACTGCCACTTCCTCGGGTGAGAGACACTGAAACAAAGGCAGCTAATATTTTTATCTCTTTTTCTTCTTTTTTTTTTTTTTTTTTTTAAAAAAAAAAAAAAAAAAGAATGTCTATCCAGCTTGCTGAAGACCTTTTTATCAAAGAACAAATAGTTTATTCCTTTGCAGGGCAAGTCTTTCACTTGCCTAAAGAAAAACATGAAAGGTTGTTGAAACCATGACCTTTCATGTGTCTTTTTGTATGCCAAAAATAGGTAGTCTATTGTAGATCAGAAGTCAAATTCTCAAGCAGTCTACTTTGCAATGCTTAACGATACAAATGATACACTGTTGCTGCAGTAACAATAATTCAAGGCTCTTCTGTGAGCACGTCTGCCACTGCAGCTAAAATACAGCCCATGAGTAATGTGGCTGGCTTAATGAAGTAGTAGCAACTTGAACAATTGGAATTTCCATTACTTGTTTCCTTCCACCTTAATTTAGCATTGACACCAGTGTTTTTTATTTCATCCACTCAATGGCTATGCACTCCCAAGCATGCAGTTGTAGCTTTGCTAAAGTCGGTTCACTGTAATGCAACGTGGTCTCCTAGCATATGCGAATTGTTTCCGCTGGTGTAACATCCCTGGCATAGCTGTGGAGGGACGGCTCTGCTCAGGCTCTGAGGCACTTGCTGGAGGTGGCAGCACTCTCGGGTGCTGCAGAACCTGGTACCCATCCAGCTTCCTCACAACTGCTCCCATCAGTCAGCTCTGGGGGGCACCTGGTGAGCTCTGCACAATTCACTGTTTTGATATCTGTAGCGAAAATGTCACCCTGCTCCTGGACTATGTTGTTTTGTTTTGTTTTGTTTTTCTTTAAATGTCACTCCCTACACCAGTGACCTCATCTGACTCAGCATAGCTTCTGACGAAAGGGAGGAAACTGTAAGCAAGTCATAGATTTTGACATAGCTGGAGAATGTAGGGAAGAAGGCTTACCAAGAGAAACAAAATACTATTATTTGAGCAAATATAAAATTACTTTTGCAACAGTCTAAAAGGCAGTTACGTAAAGCAAACCTAATCTAAAGATCACAATCTTCTAAAAACAAGGGGAATGTTTATTACATACAGAGTTTATTTCATCCTCAAGTTTCGCAAAAGGTTTTGCTGAGGTTTGTGCTGATAATTGTGGTGGCACTGTACCTGCTGCACCAATCCAGTTCCTGGGTTTGCTCCAGATATTTGATATGGTGAGAACATCTGTGTGTCTCACCTTTGAAAACCGGGTAGGATTGAAATAGTCATCTGGGTAGATCACCAGCTTTCTTATTTAGAGGCTGATTGTATTAAAAGTCTGTAGAAGACAAGTGAGACCTATGCTAAGAGTGTCACCAGGAAATTAAGCTGTGACTGCAGCATGAGCTTCTTTAGTGTTTGCACTTCATTATTAGGCACTGAGCTTTTCCAGGCAGGCAGAGAGGAAACAAACATAGGAGGGAAAGGTCTTAGGCCTGGAGGAAGAAAACTGTGGAATATTTTTACTCCAAAATGCACCTGGCAGTGATAGTGCAGACACATGAAAGAGCTGTGGGTGCTGTTGTATTGAAGGAGAATGTTGGCCAAGACACTGGCATATCCTCTAAACTTTCTTTCTAAAGCTGCCAAGCTGTGCTGAACATTCATGCAGACACAGACAGAAACCGAAGGAGTAGGGACAAGCGACCTCAGTTTAACATTTCATTCAAATGACAGTGTCCCTAATGAGATGACCGCTCTAGTTTCTTAGCACACCACCCAGCCTGAAGGATCTCACAGATCCTTTCAGATGTGCTGAACTGATAAGCAAATGACATGTTACATGTGTGAAAGTAGGATAGAAGCACATAGTGTTTGATTAAACAGCATATCTGTTTCTTAATGCTTAGCTCTGTTCAGCTTGCTGTGCAGTTGGGTTCTGTTCTGGGTTTTGCTTCCCCCTCCCCTCCCCTCCACCCCCCTTTTTTTTTTTTTTACACAAATGACTGAAGATTTAGGTATAAGAAGGTAACATGCAAAGAATTCACAGTCCATAAAACCAGAACCTTCTTTATAATGCTTTTTGCTGTCTTACTAGTGAAGCAATGACTTGCGATGTTTATCTTCTGGTTTTATTCCAATCTCCCAAACCCTTGAAACAGAGCAAGAAAGGGCACTGCAAAACAGCAGTGAATTCCTAGGAAAAGGAGAGGAATAGTGCAATGAGAATTTACCTTCAATATTTTGTGTGTGCATGTGACCTTTTAAAAGAAATAATAAATAAATCCAGTACCAGTGTTTAGAAAGAGAGCTACTAGGTAAACTGTCATCTGAAGTGCAACAAGTCAGTTTTGTCTCCCCTCAGAGTCACCATCTAAACATCACTGGTTCTGGGCTCCTTTAGGATAGGTTATGAATGCTGTTAATGTAAATGTGCCCCAGAGGTATTTGTGAGCCATCAGAAACCCATTTTCTTTTTAAGCTCTGTCTTGCTGTTTGGTTTTGGCCAGTTCTGCTGGCTTAGTGGAACTGTCATTCAAATCCATGTGAATTGCTGTGGTTTAATTTGGACCTCTGACTAAAAAATGTGGCTATGTAGTTTAGTCTAGTGTCTATGCAGAGCTTAATTATTCCCTTGTACAAATAGCTTTTCTGCCACTGTGAATACTAAACAATCATTTATATTGCCTTATGGTTTTGAAAAATTATTGACCATCTCCTTAGATGAAGACTGAGGCCCTGGTAATGTTTTTTCTCTGCCATTTCACCATCAGTTTCTTTATCGTGTTTTAAGGTAGGTGTATGGGCAGAGTGACCTATTACCAATCTCTAAACTGAGCTGCCTCACTCTAGTGCATTATGTGGTTTTGGTTGTCTTTTTGATTATCAGAGCAGAACCCATGCTTTTTTTTTCCCACTTAACATAATGGGAATTGCTTTTTAACTGTAGGGTAAAACCAGGGATGCTGTAGAGATACAGGAGAACGGTTGTGGAGGTCCTGCTCATATTAATGACTCAAAAGGGGTGAGCGGTATTTAATGTTTGTAACTTTACCCTGAGAGCAGAAGCTTTTTGTTTATAACTGTAGTTCTGCCAACAGCTTTTCCCCTTCCCATGTTCTCTATATTTTAGCTATTACCAATCTAAGGCAGAAATGCTACCCAGGATTACTGAGCAAGGGTTATTAAGTTTTATGGAACACCTAACAACTGGAATATAAAATATGAAAAATCAATGAATGAATTAAGGATGTGGTTAGCTAGCTATTTATATTCTTAGTCTTCCACTTAAATGTCATACCTTTAGAAGACTTGCATTAAAAAAATGAGACAGATGTGTAGTGAAATTATGCTTTTGCCATAGAAATTAAATGCTGATTAGAGATAAACCATAATGCCTCCTTCTTCATTCAAAGAGAATAAATTTTAATTTTCCCTTGAGAAAGCAAGGGCTATGGAACCAAGAGCCAAACATGAAGTTGTGGTTGTTACTGTGTGATGCCAAATGCATGTAGTATATATATATATTTTGTTTTTGTTTAACAAACAAGTGCAAAAGAAGGTAAACACTCTGTTTTGGTGCCTTTCCTGCTACATACGGAAAGATCTCTGTAAAACTGTAAAAGATCTATGATAACTGAAAGATCTATGTAAATTAGTTTGCAGTACATTATATATCATGGTGCAATAACCATATGTTCTGAAACACAAGTTACAAATGGCTATGTAGTTGTTAACAGGTCAGTAAAGATATGTGGGTGTTTGAGATTTCAGCATGGGATTTTGTTTGCTTGTTTTATTACAAAATATGTTTTGCCCATAAAATAACCACACATGAAAAGGGGTTTGAGAAGCCTAGAAAGATCTGTCCCCTTCCCTGGGGGCTATATTAGACCTCTGAGTCATGAAGTCTTTGCATAGTAGATATCTGGTTACAAACCTTTTATGGGCCCTACTCAGCTGGGATATCAGCATCTGCATTATAGCTCCCATCTATTCTTAGGTGATATCAGAGCACGGCTGAACAGGCAAGGCAGAAAGAGAATTACTTTTGTTATATAAAACTCTTCCCTTTTCTTAGTCTGTTTTTTCACACTTTCTCTGTCTACCCCATCTTTCTGTTCTGCAGTGCCTTGTTGTTGCCTTGTGAAAGAGGTACAAAATGGCTTACAGCGTGACTCTGAATGGACCTGGACCATGGGGTTTTCGACTGCAAGGGGGCAAGGACTTCAACATGCCCTTGACCATCTCCAGAGTAAGTGAGCAAAAAACCTTTGTTGAGATTGTTTAGGTTGGAAAATATCAGTGAACTACTCATATTTACACTCTGACCTGTCCTAGAAAAATAGCAGATCTTTGCAGCTGGGTCTGAATAAAGAGAGAATATAGTGTGAACTTTAAATCCACCAGTTCAGGATACAACCTGGCATTGATGGTGCCTCAGGAAGACAGTTCTGGTTTTTGTACTTTTAAGAATGTTGACACTGTCTCTTTTAAATAAGCTTCCAGTTCTATTTTGTACAGCATTGTCTCTTTCTTCTGATAGGGGCCTCACTGGTGCTCTCTATTTGAGGGGGAGAGAGTAGGACAACCATGAATGGGAATATAAAATTATATTTCTAGAAAATAAACATGTAACTGCTTGTAAATATGTGAAGTCTAGGTGTTAAAATTGGACAAATATAGAGATACATGTCCTTTCTTTTTGGGGGGGAGCAATAATTGGATGAAAATTAGACATGTCAAGCAGGAGACAATAGTGCTTAAAATACAGTCTTAAGTTATGCAGAAGCCTGCCATTTGCAGCTGACAAACAGCATGTGACTTAATAATTAATGACCTGGTGTATCTGTCAATTACAGATTAGTCCATTTGTTTCCTAGCCATCCTTTTTTTTTTTTTTTTTTTTTTGAGCAATGTTTTAAGGTGCTGCAATGGAATGCTCTTATTACCTGAGTTAGCTCAGTTTCTTAAAACTTTTTAACACTGGATAGTTTTCCTGACATTTGTAAGCACTTCCCTTATCTGCTCTGCTCTTACCAAACTGGATAGTTCTGTGTAACTTCTGGTTTGGAACCTGCTTTCTACTACCTCTTTCAGCCATCTCCTTTCCTTTTTTTTTTTTTTTTTTTTTCCTTTCTGACACTCAAATCTGTTCCAGAATGTTCAGATCTATTAGAGACATCTTGGTTCCTCCCCAGATCACCTGCAGAAGGCTTATTTTGCAGTGCAATGAGAAGAGAGGTTACTTACATAACAGTGTTTAAAAGGAATACCAGAATGATTTAATCAGACAAACAAATAGAATGCAAACAAAAGGTCTGCTCCACTGAGGGGGAAAAAAAAAAAAAAAGCCACCTACACTACTTTGAAAACTGTTTTTTTTCATAATGGAAAAATACAGTCAGTTAAGTTGTGAATACCAAATTGATATCCCTGCAACAATCATGATTGAAAGTCATCAGTAAGCTTCTGAAATCTTGACTATGGTATTTCATATTCATACTGTAAAGCTCTGCATTATTTGATCTTTATTATTCTTATGCACAGTATTCCTTTCTCTGAAGGCAGAGCCACATTTACCTTTATACTTAGTCCTATGATGATGAGAGAAGCTTCTCATAACCCCTTTTGTAGAAGTGGCATAGTAACTGCAAAGAAGGCTGTTCTGTCAGAGTTATTAAAAGCAAGCAAAAAACACCCCCAAAAAATCCCCGCCCACAAAAATAAACTCACTTCATAAATTTATACTAATTTTACTATGGTAATTAGTTTTGGTATTTCTTTCCTTATCCTACCCAAGGTAAGTGCAGGGAGCTGCCTACATATTTCTGTAGGCATTTTCATGACACTTTGCAGCCTGCACTGTATGGTGTTGATTATTTAAGTAATTCAGTCGTACCTAGATGCTGTCAGTCATGGGCTGTGGCTGTGGCACTTGCACTGTATATGACACAATCAGAAATGAAAGAACAGTTGTTTCCCAAAGAACCCATTGTCTCAGATTATAATGTCCTAAAGTATACTCACTGTGCCCAAAGGCTACATGGTTCTCATGGGGTTTTTGAGAGCATATGATGAGCAGGAGTGAAACTGTAATAGCTGGATTCCCAGAGGTGTAGAGGAATTACCTCTTCACACAGCTGGCTGCATTTCCAGCAGTAGAAGTGTCAGAAAGCACTGTTAAATGTTTTGAACTTTCTCCCAGTGAGGCCCAGTTTTTAGTTGGGAGCGTTGCTTTGGAATGGGATTGGATTTTGTAGCCTGCCTTAGGGGGGAAAGGCAGGTATGCAGAAATGAACGTAGCCTCTTTCAGGGGGCACGCTGGAGTAGGAATGCCTGCTGGTTGTGATATGTTTTCTAATTGGAACACAGTGTAATACATGACTTTTGATGATAATATTCTTAAAGTCTATTTTGTCTTTTACATCTTTCACATAAATATATCTCTAAACAGATCAGATATCCCCCTTAATCAGCAATTTGCAGTCATAAGTGAGTTGAGCTATGAACTTAACCATAACTGCAATCTTACCATGGGGGAAAAGGAAAGTTGTACTTAGATTCTCAAGATATTTGGGAGAGAAGATAACTGTGAGGCAATTCCCCTTCCTTCTTAGGAAAGGCACACATCTCTAAATGTTGCCACTGGATGCCATACACTTATCTGTGGACTGGTTTTGATCCACAGCTGCCCTGAGATGAGATTAAATTTTCTATGTGCAAGATAAGTCCTAAACCCCAAACACTTCAAGTTAAAGGGTCTTATAATTGTTTTTAATACCAGATGTGCCATGACCCTTTTGCCTACATACGTGTAGTATCCCTCTATGCAGGCAGATAGGGTTTACATGCAGACATGCTCATTATACTCGAGTTGCCCCCAATCAATAAGACTGTCTGTGGTTGGGCCACAGAAAACAAAAAGATTAATTGTTTTTTCATGGAGACTCTGTGCTCTTTGTCTCTGAGCTCCTGAGAGAGATGTCTCAGGACAGTCTACCACACTGGGATTTTTCATCCCTTCTACAATCTTACGCCTGCATGTTTCCAAGGACCTTCCTGAAAGTGGAAGCTAGTATTGTGTCAGATGTGTGCTAGCCCACATCTAGACATAAAGTGAGCATCTTGGGTTTAGGAACTAGAGCTGTGGCTTTGCTGTCTGTTGACTTGTACTCTGACAGCCCCACACAATTTTCACTCGGCCTGTACTTCACCTGAGGAGAAAACTGAAGGTCTTTGAAGCCTACTCACAAAAGTGCAATACAAGATTGTGGCATTGCTTATACTTCTGTTCAGGAAAATGCTCTTAAAACAGTGGGCAAGGAAGGAATTATACAGAGTGGTTTGGCACAGCAGTTCAGTTTCAAAGGACTCTTTAAAATGCTGTCTGAGACACTGTATTTTCTTCCCTTCAGGTAGGTCCAGGTGATCAGGTCACTGCTGAATAGTCAACAACATAAGACACAGGAGTCACAGTCAGTCAGCTGGGTGACAGGTGAAGATGTGTCTCCCTGAAATGAATTGTTCTGCTTATCAGTTCTTTATCTAAAAATAAGTGCCTGACATAAGAGAGGTGGGGACAGGAAAAGAGGAGGCAAAACAAGTGGAGAACAGTTAAGGTCACTCTGCAGATTTCACATTCATTTAACAATGGCATTAGAAAATAATCTGGGAAGATTTAAAAAAATATTTTTTCCAGTCCCCACCCTGCAGACAATCCCACCCTCTAGACCAAATGCTGTCATGAGATGTCATGGGCAGGTAGCAGAGGTAAGAAAACAGTATTGACAGGCTCCTAGAAAATCTGAGCATCTGTCAGTCCTATTGAAATGAATGAGACTTTCAAGTTGTTGGCAATGCTAAGAGCTGTCACCGGTGGTGTGAACATATGCATAAATCTTTCCAAACTGATGTGGGCAGCAAAGCAGGTTATTTTCCCCTACTGCTTGCAAGCAGAATTCATTAATTTTATAGACCTAATCCTCTGTAAGAAGGCTTTTAGGCATAGTTAATTAAGTGCTGTGTTGCTGTGTTACCTAAGATGGTACAATCATACATGAATGGATGCAACAGCAGAGCCTCTTCATATATTTCTAATTTGGCTTTATTCTACTAAGTGAGGAAGAAGTTGAAATCTGGTGATGATGTCAGTGCAGTGAGGAGAACTGGCAAATATAAATAGCAAAAAAATGAAATTAGCTGATCTTTATACTTATTGTGATGCAAGCAGCCTGAAACATCTCTTTGTGAGGAAAGAAACCTATATTTTAGCATTTCATGGTCCATGTCTTTGGAGGAGCGGGAAGGCTTTTCTCACATTTGTTGGGCTCTTTCCTTTTATCAGCATCTTGTCCTGATTACTTCCTGTCCTTCCTCCACCTCCTAGCATACATGTCAACCTCTCGCTGTGGCTGCATTTCCTTTTGAGGATCTATGTGAGAGTATTAATTTCCTGTGGGCCTATTGTGTATGGGGTATCTGTGCCTATCTGTACAACAGGCAAGTGATGGGTGAAGGGAGTCCCAGTTTGCTTTTTTCTTCTATTCTTGAATGAAGGGAAAGCTCAGATTATCTGGGTCAGGTACTATGCATTCTGCAACTGTCATCTGGATGGCAATGTGGTGCTGTACACAAATTCTAATCGGAAGAGTACTGTTTACCTGTATTGGCTAACCTGAAGAAATTTAACAAGTTCACTTGAAATGCTGATTCCATGTCACCTATTAATCATCAATTTCTGATGAACTGAACTGCTGAATAGTTGTCCTACAACTACAACTGCAACTGAGAGGTTTTTGAATCTCCAAATGTGAAGTCCTTGACAATTAAAAGCCACAGATTAGTATTTATAGTAGTTGATATTCTACAGAACTAAAAGGTAAGTTTCATGTCCTCCAAAAGCCTTCCTTTTTAACTATTATTCAGTAGAGGTGTTTCCTTTCTCCCCCAAAACTCAGATGACTGAGTCAACTTTTGAGGGGGAGTGAGCCATTTAATGTAGTCTTATGTCTAGATGAACTGTAGTAATTTCCTGTGCATGAGCAGTTTCACGTTTTTCCAGTCTTCTACAATTTAACTCAAAATAGTTCCTTTTGAGACCGCCTTTTAAGAACACTCCAAAATATTCCTAACTGTTTTTGATAAAACAATTATTCCATGGACATCAGCATTTTTTTGTGGCATAATCTGCTTAATTTGTAGATTACTTCTTGAGCAACAGAGGCACCTCATCCAAAGTTACAGCATTCTGAC